CAGTGCCCTTCCCTGCCCACACCTCCACCGCCACCTCCCAAACGCCCCATTGACCCTACCCACGCCCCCACCGTCAGCTCCACCCGCCGCACCCCCACCGTCAGCTCCACCCGCCGCAGGAGCTTTCGAGGAAACAGATCTGGAGGTGCAAATCGCCACCGCCGTCAGCTCCATCGCCACCGCCGACGCCATCGCCGGCAACCCCCGCACAAATGGATCTCCAGATTTTTTAGATATGAAAAAACGAGATCCAACTCTGGTAGAAGAAGAAAACGAAAAAAAGAAGAAAAAGAAGATGGCAGGAGAGAGATAGGGAGATGAAGGCTAGATCTAGCGAGAAAAGAAAGGAAAGAAGAAGAAGAAGAAGGAAGAGGAGGAAGAAGATGACGAGGAGAAGAAAAGGAAGAGGGAGAGGAAGAGAGAGAGAAAGAGTGGAAGAAGAAGGAGGAAGGAAGAGGAGGAGGAGGAAATACAGAGAAAGGACGGGAAAGGAAGACGAAAGGGGGAGGGAAGAGAGAGAGAGAGAATACCTGTCTGTGCGTGGGATGACAAGCCGAGAGAGAAAAAAAGGACGAGAAAGGATGAGGAGGGAGGGGTAATTTAAGAAGATTGGGTATTAAAACGTAGATTGGGAACTTTATTTCCGGACGGAAAAAAGCGTAGACTGGGAACTTAAAATCCGGACGGAGGAAGTATTTAAAATACATACGTATCTGTATCCGTATGCCGCACATTTAATATTCACAGTAAGTCGTATTTTATATAATTCTAACATATTGAACACATATGTACGTATTGACACATTATACGTCAGTCGTATATTATTAACTAGGCTAACTACTATCTTCATAATCAAATTGTAAAATGAATTGAATTGTTTTTTATGAATGTTCTCAAATTAATTACCTCTTCCATCCAAGATTTATCTTCTCATTCACTTCTAGTTTTGTATGAAGTAGATCTTTTAATATATTTTTTAAATATATAATTTTTATTTTTAAATTGAACACTAGGCATCCAATGGCATTGATAATAAAAAGGGGATAGACACGAGGGCAAAAGTGTCAAAAGATTACCAATAAAAAGGTGGTGCTAGTGATTCACAGCACACATCTGCGTCTACCGAATTCTCACACGGCACTGGGAAAGGGATTAGGATCCGCAGAAGCTAAACCCCGGAGAACCGCCCTGCCTGGATGATCGATTGATCATCACCGGAGAATATCGGACGGTTCCATTAAGCCGGCCGAGCTCACGCTCTTTATCCCCGTCCGTTCATTACGTCGGAGCTCTTAAATTAGCGAAGAGGTTTAGATTCACATTCCTTGTTCGAAGAACATATAGAACGATAAATCTTCGATTTGTGGAGTGGCGGAGAGTTTTTGGTGTTCCACAGATGTCAGAACAACAGGTAATGAAAACCCTAGTTTTTTTATTTTGTACGCTTTCGTTGCTTTTTTCTCTCCCCATCCGAGAAGAGGATGATTTTGCTCCAAACGTCGAATATGCTCTATCTGTCGCTTTGAACTCCGGCCAGATCTGCTATTTTTGAAGGTGCGGTAGTGTTTTTCTCCGGTCCACCTGAATCGAGGATTGTTATCCGGCCAACGATTTAAGATCTGGATGCCTTGCTTATGAAAACGTTGTTTTGAGGGTTTCCATCGTGGACGGAGCTATGATGCCACTAGAATTTGTTTGCGTTGCTACATCTTCAACGATCTGTCACTGGATAGTCATTCGGCACAGTGGCGTGTTAAATTATTGAGGAATGAGGATCTTTTTCTTTAGGGAGTACTAGAACTTACTTGGGAAATTCGCCTTGTGGATTTCATTAGAGATTTGGCATCCTTGGTCTTACCTTCAGATTGCCTGATGATAATTTTAAGTAACACTGGATTGAAACAGAAAACGATCCGTAGGGGTTCTCTCAAAGCGTGTTTGATGGTGTGATGCAACCGCTTTCCTAGGGAACAATTTCAGTTGTTGATGGTTCTGCAGAAAAAATAGCTTGTGAAGGCTATTAAGTTCTTAAATATCCGGAAATCGTATGTTCAAGCTCATGCATATTCCAAAGACGTGTCTCGTGCTTCTTTGCTTCTGCCTCTTCTTCTTCTCCCATGGCTTCTAAATGTCAAAATGGACATATTATGCACCTATTATGCTTAAGTGGGAGTGGATCTTTACCCTATATATTGTGTGATGATATTGGTGAGTTGGAGTGCATTTGGTTGTTGGGGGATAGCACTGCTCTAACAGTAATTCCATGGGTTTTAGGAGAGAGCTCTGTGTACAACATTTTGATGTTTTGTTGGATACCTAATTTATTGGCTCATACATGTATGGTTGGTTACAAAAGATAACTTCAAAGCTCATGTTTTGAACCCCTGCCAAACCCAATCACTTATATCCCTGATCCCTTCGGTTTGGCTAATGGCAACCCATTCCAGCACCATCCCCTCTATTTGAGACTGAACAACTATTGCCGTCCAAAACGCCGCTTCCATCAGCATTGGTTAAATCCCTATTTTTACTCCATAATGCAAACCAAAAACCCAATTTTATTTCCTGTACCCAATGATAGACCTTCTCAACCATATTCTCTTTCCCAACTTGAATTTTAACCATAAACCTCTAAGATTACATATTTCTAGTGTGTGAAGCTTTCTGAAATGTAAAGCGTTATTCTGTTTTGTTTCTCTCCTTCATGTTTTCATTTGAATTATTTTGCAGACTCTGGATTTGGCCTGGGAATTTTGTAATCATTGTGGAGTTGAATAAAAATGGAACGAGCTTAAAGAAACATTATGCAAGACGTGGAGGCAGATTCTCAGTTGATGGTGTAAGAATTATTTCTGCAAACATGGTTAGTCCAGTCGGTCTCAAAGCATCTGAATCCATCAGTCCTGAGTTGAATTGGAAGAAAGTAACAAAAGGAAGACGCTCCAGGAAACCAATTAGCAGAAGTTCCAACTGGGGTGGAAAACTAAAGAATCAGAGTCCCAGGAGAGTGGGAGATTTTTCAGGTTCCGATTCCGACAAGGTACCTTTCCAGATCTATATGCACATTCTAATACTCCGTATATAACAATGAATTAATCTGATTGGCTCTGTTTCCAACTTTTGATTTGGCAGTTAGTTGAGATTCTCAACGAGCAATCTGCTCCGGACAAAGCAGAGCGCATTCCCATAAAGAAGAGGAGGCATTTGCTAGGTACTCCAATTCAATCTGAAGAACGTGATCGGATTTCCGATGATAATCATCCACCGGGGAACTTAAGTTCGTCTTCTTATTCCGACCATCAGGCAGTGGCTTTAAAGCTTTGTAACACAATTAGAGATGGCATTTTGGATGTCAAGCGTACAAAGCTTCAAACTGGGAGGAGCTATTACAACACTGAGGACTTTTCAGGCATTGCATTGCTTGCAGCAGCTGCATGCAGTAATGGAGTGGATGATGACATTGGTACTGAAAAGGATTCTAGAAACCAGTCGGGAAAGGACATGATTCCTAAAAGTGAATGTTCAGATTTTCTTCAACAGAATTCAGCTATTCTGCAAGATTTGGATGAAGACAATAATAAACTTGGGGAATATATACCTTCTGTATCTCCGAAGGTTGACAGACTGTATTGGGACCTCAATATACCTATTGATTCTTGGGGTAAACCTCAGGATGACCAAGCCACCACTGGAAATGCTCAAAATAATGGTGAAATTGGGCACAACAAAAACCACCGTGTGAGCAACTTCACTGAAGACAGGATTATTCCTGAGACATCTGATTTCGATAATCTCAAAAAAATAGTTGAACCTTTTGCAACGTCTCACGAGGATATATCATCTCCTGGTGACAATCTTTCCAACAAATCAGTTCATGCATCAACAACCTTAATTTCTCAGGGACAGCCAACTGTTGCAGTTTTTGATGGTGCCTCTTCTGATGAAGCTAATATTTCTCATCACTTATCAAATTGTGAAGCTCTGTCATCATCAGTCAATGATACAAATACTGGCAGGTCAGTGAAGACGGAGTCAGTTTTTGGAGACAGCCACAAATCAGACATCTCCCACGAGTATCGTGGTCAAAATAATTGTGGTTTGTATATGAAAGGTTTTCGTGCTGGTTATGACTCCCCCTTTGAAGATGGGGAGTTGAGAGGATCTGGTTTATGTTGTTGGGAGGAAAATGAGGTATATGGCGAGGATGGATGCGTTGACTATGATTCAACTGGAAATGGTATGCATGATCAACATGAGTCAGAAGTTGTCGAAGATGGGTCTGAGGATGGTTCACAAGGTTGTTTTGAGAAGAGACTTTCTTCTTTGAATGGACGATTTGTTGAAGCAGATTTCAGTAGGGGTCCTAGGTCACTGAAGAACATTAGGGTGCAACCCAGGAGGTATGATTCAAGCATGGGAGGAAATTATGCGAGAAAAGGAGAAGTGTTTGGTTACAGGCGGTCATATAATGAAGATTTTGGTTTGAGACCAGATAGAGCCAAGTTGCAGTCACGCACTGAAGGGCCAATGTATGTGGATGCAAAAGACAGGAAGGGCTCTATATTGTTCCATCCCCGCCGAAGGTAGATATAAGTTTCACACTCCAATCCGGATTATAGGTCCCCAATTTATTTTACACGCATGTTAAGGACATGCACGATAATCCCTCGTCCCAAAAAATAAGTCACATTTTATCAAAACAAACTAAATTTTCATTACATTTATGTTATTTTGACACACGCGTGGATGTAGAAGTCCAATTTCTGCACCCTTAGAGCATCAACAATGGCAAGGCAAAAATTAAATGCCACACGGTGACATGGAACATTTTAATCAATAAAAAATAGTCCAGTCAGCGTGTGGCAAGTGAATGGAGTGGCAAGTCCTACAATGACAAGTCATTATTTTTTTATCACTTCTTACATTTATTTTATGTTTTTTAAACATAAATTTTTTTTTTATTATTTATTTTATTAAAAAATTATTCTACTTTCTTGTATATTTTTTTTCATAAAATATTTTTTAAAAAAATATTTTAAAAAAATAAAAAAAGAAGGATGAAGTGCCACACTCATGCCTCACAAAGCAAGGCATTTTGGTCTTGCCATGCCATGATATGAGTGGAAGAAGATGATGTGGCAGTGCAAGGCATCTCTTTTACTTGCCATTGCACATGCTCTTATATGTAGTTCAACTGACAATTCTGTTTGGATTTTTTTCCAGGCCTCATAGTTTGGGTTCTTACAGTAGAAGACCTGAAAGAGAATTTTCCCCTGAAAGGGGATTTACCCCTGATAAATTTATGGGCAGCAGATATAGATCTGCATTCCTTGAACGAAATATGAATCCAGGGGGCGGTCATTGGGAGGGCAGCTGGGATTCAAGAAACCGATATCCTTCAACTACTTATCAGCACATCCCTGATGGTCACCGGCGAAGAACCTTTGCTGCTAATGTAACTGAACGGTTTGACCGGATGGGTTCTCACGACCAGAGAAATTATTCCTCAAACTACATAGAAAGAAGACCTCATGGGTTTAAACGGAGGATATCAGTTGAGGGTGGGGATGATTGGTATGACAGTCCTAGGAGGATGGAACCTGCCAGGATTGGCCGATCTGGAAGTTATTATTCTCGGGGTGGTAGAGGAGGCTTTGCAGGGCACAGAGGTCATTTCCCTTTACCAGACGACGATGACGGGTCACCTAATGGAATGCGGCGTCGTTACTTGAGGAAATCTCGGTCAAGGTCGAGGTCCTCTACTCCTCGGAGTGGTAGAGGCTTCAGAGGGCAGGGAGGTAATTTCTCCTTACCTGATGATGGCGATTTGTCGCCAATTGGAGCGCGGCGGCGTTATTTCAGGAAATCCCGTTCGCAGTCGAAGTCATCCTCTTCTCCTCGGGCTTGGTGTTATTCTCCAAGAGATTGGAACCCACCGGCCATGAGAGGACGCCCGTCGGGCAGATTGCCCGACCGGAGATTGAGGGGTGTTCCTCACTATGCGGAAGCGGATGAATATGGAAGAGGAGGGTTTGTGTCCCCACCGAGGCGGCACTTCTCCCCTGAACGGAGATCGAGAAGGACAGACGGTAGCCAACACTTTGTTGGCAGCCGCGGGAGAACGCCCGTGAGGGAGACCGTAAAAAGGAATCAAAGATTCGACCCATTGGGACCGGGCAACCGATTCAAGTCATCCAACAACCATTTCAGACGCACGGGGAGATTTCCATTGATGGGCGGCAACGAAGACAGTGACATGGGAAGGGTGAGGATGAACAGTTACGATGACATTAGTCCTCTGAAGAAGCATTCGGAGGATGTTGCTGCTGTAAAGGAAACCGGACATGGCGGTGTTGATGATAAATATGAGGCAGGAGGCAATGAAGAAGAACAAGGAAAAGATGAAGACAATCAAGACATCCACTGTACAGGGAATGCTGCACAAGGTACTCTTGTTATTGATGAAGATAAAAAATAAATCCCTCTAAATACAACAACATGGCACTATTGTTTTTGTTTTTTTGGCTGGTTAATGTTTGTTGTTGCCTTAGGAGGAATGTTGGTAGGAAAAAAAGCCGTTGCTAATATATAGTAGTGTCTAGCTTTATTATTCTACGTCCACAAAATGATTTCTTTTTATGGCCATTAGTGGATAAGAAAATGAAATAATTTTTGCTGATGAATTAATTAAATTTTATGTATTTTGGTAGCTGTCCCTCATCCCTTTTTCGGAGAAGACCGGTTTTATTTGTTGGACACTTGGACATGTGCCTTCTACCATCCATTGTACATCTTGATGGAGAAAAAAAAGACCAAACTTGGTGTGAAATATTGTTATTAGAGTAAAAAAAAAGACCAAACTTGGTGTGAAATATTGTTATTAGAGTAAATTTGATAAATAGTCCTTTACAATGGAAGTTTTCTATTCCCTTCATCATAAAAAGAGTTACTATTTATTACCCAAAAGTTATGATTTTTTGTTTATATTTGCATTTTGATTGATTTTTTGATAAAATAGAACATTCTTGTGATCTATTTCTTTATACTCCTATCTCAATTTAAGTTGCATCTTTTCTATTCACAAGATTAAATTTTAATTATATTTTTGACTTATTTTTTAAAAAATATGGTCTAATTACTTCTTGTTTTGTAAAATTTTAGATGTAATTTTTAAATATATACATTTTATTTTTTTTAATTCCTTACCGATTATCAAATAAATGGAATTAAAAATAATTTTAGTCAAATTTTGTGTTAATATGCCTTGAATCTGTATTGTGTTGTCGCTACGCAAATTAGTAAACGGGAGTCTTGTTGCGCGTGGACGTAGCCAACACAACGTTGGTGAACCACGTTAAATCTGTGTGTCTTTACGCTTTCTGTTTACTTTGAGTACTCAATTACTCCATTCCGTAATAATATTTTGTAAACAACAACATAGGACTTTTTTTGAGAGGAAAGAAGTAGATTTTTTGACATGTCTATAACACTCACGAGTTTGGACCCCAATTGAAGGAAGATCAGTGAGATGCCACGGTAGAAATCCCGTAGGTTGAGCAAAAATAGGGCGGCATTTGGACAACACCCGCTGAGTTTTGGCGGGCTAGCACGCAGACCACTCTTCGGTTCTTTACTGTCCTTTGGAAGGCGTTGAAGACAACAACATTTCATAGCAACTCCAGAGAGATTCGGCAGCAATGTAAAGCTTGAAAATGGTGCAATGACAATGTTTTAGGAGAAAAAGTATCACCCCGCAAGGTCACACAGGTTTTCCTTGTTTTCGTGAGGTTAGTGTAATCTTGTGTGACCTTGCCATGTAATTGTAACCATTGCACACCAAACACAACATCAGGGCCACGAATGGGAAGAACAAACACATCAACTGAAAATTGGAACCCCTGTAGCAAGAGGGGTATGTTGGGGAATTGTTGGGTACATACCAAGGAGGCACCATTACCCACATAAACGCGAAAAGCAGAAATTGTGATCACCAATAACTGGGAATTTTCAGCGTTGCGAGGTGAATGATGTTGTGAAAGGCTCAAAGCATTGTAGTAATTGTTCCATGTGATGGTTTAGGGTTTGCATGGTAGTGGTATGGGCGTGAATTTGACGATCAATTTGCCGCTGAAACTCCCGAAAATTGGCGGTGGTGAAGGTGTTGGTAGCCATGAGAACTCAATGAGAGCACTAGGGATACGAAGTGTAGCGGATAAATATCTTTTCAAGTTGAAATATTTTAGAATTTTTAAATTCTGAAGATATCAATATGAAAATTTTGATATCAACCTCAACCGTTGGCCGTTGTTGTCGTGATCCATCCATTGTCGCCAGCAACCAGTGTCCATTTACCACTTCTGCCACCCTCCTTTGTTGGCCACCTGCTCTCGGTGATCACCCCCGTCATTGATAACCACCGTTTCGAATATTCTCAAAGATTCTTTTTAAAATTTTAGAACACACATTACTTCTTCTAAATTTCAGAATGCATATCACATCAACCATGTTTCTCACACCAAAACGAGACATAAAAACCTCACAAACTCTCCCTCCGCATTCTCTTAGGCCCCGCTTGGTAAAATGTTAGCTTTAGAGTTTTGAAAAACTTATTTAACGGCAACTCCCTGTGTTATGTTTTTTTGAAAATTAATTTACACTGTTAAAATTTTATCTAAAATATTAACGCTAACAAAGGCTTAATCTCTTTCTCTCTCTTCCTCCTCTTCGTTCATTCGTTTTATTTTCCGTGGAGAATTGAAGAGCATAGCATTGATGTTGGTCTAGAGCAAAAAAATCTTTCAAAGATTTGGAATACTTTTATACTAATGAATTAATTAAAGCATTTATAGAATGAATGCATTTTTGTTTGTAGTCAATGCTGCATCCGGAATTGTCAACGCATATCATATCATCATGTGACCATACAATTTTTCCTCCTTTTGACCAAAAGCTTGCCGCCATGAATAATACTCTTTGGTCCCAAATTAGATCATAAATGTGACATAGTTGTATATTTTATTAAATAAGTAATGAAAATAGGTAATAAAATTTGATAATATGAATAATGAACATAAAATTTAAATTAGAATGGAGGGAGTAGTGGTACTTTCGAATATTGCTCTTTTAAATTGTTAAATTTATGTGGAATATTTGATAGTCGGTAATTCATGGTAAAATAAAAGAAGGTGAAATTGATACGTTTCATAACTTTTTTTACGTTTCAAAAAATATTTGTCTTTATTTCTTTTTTAGTAGGAGTAATAAATGTCTCCCTAATTTAAATCTAATTATACATTTTTTAAAATCACGTGAAGATAAAAATATATTAAAAATTGGGACGAAGGATGTATAAATAATCTCTAATTTTGCGCGTTCCACGAAAATAGTTAATGCTTGATGATGAATTTTGCACGAATAATCTAAACCATCTCGGCTCAACTTTAAAGAGATGTTAGACAATAATAAAAATAAAAATACATACCAAGTACTCCGTATTTATTTAATTTATTATGATTTTTCCTATAAATATTAGTAATATCTCTCATAATATATCAAATCACAAATGAGTTGCGTATGTTTGAATAATTGGGTCACAGTATACATTACGGAGTATAAACTTTTTATTTCTCATTTTACTTTCTTCGACTTAAGATTATTCGCCCAATTTAATTTTTTTAAATAAAAAAGAACGAACTTCAATCATTCTTATACTCCTGGCAAGTGTTGACTTGGACAAAGTTGACCATATTTTTAAAATTGGGTTGGGTTGTAGAGCTTCACCTTAAAAAAGCATATAGTGTAATTCACTTGATCATATGGTTAAACAACAATCACACCCAAACCACAGACACAATTGTATAGCAAAACATCATAGCCTTGGTATACACATACATACAATCATACACCATTACAACAACTTGCAAACACAATAAAAACCAGAAAACATCATAATAATATGGGCAGACAACCATTTACTTGCTCATTAGCGCCCGATCAAAGACGTGCCCTCCCCAATCTGAAGGGAGGCAATGGCTTGTTCTGCAACCAAGTGTGGAGAAATCCCCACCATCTCCCAATTCCCTCCTCCCTCGCGGTAGTATCCAGACGCCGACCCCACCCAAACACGGTCTCCCAATCCGCTACCCTCCCATCCAAACACTCTTCTTCCCCCTCTGCCCATAAGAAACGCGTCCTTTTTCTGCATGGTGTGGTCCCAATCTTCTTCCTCCTCTTCGCCCAGTAACACGTGCAGAGCCACGGCTTCAGCAATGGCAGCACCTTCTTCGTCAAGCCTCTTCTGCTCTTCTTTCTTCCTCTCTTTCTTCTTTTCTAATTCTGATCTAATCGCTGCAGATGTGGCTAATGCCTTCTCTAACCGTCTTTTCTTCTTCTCGGCCTGTTTGGTTCGGTCCAGCTCGTTCTTCCCTTGTTTTTTCTTCAACTTAGTACTGACACTGGATGGGTGTGCTACTTTGGCACCGTCCATATCTTATATAGAGCACCAATTATTCTATAGGCTATACTATTTTCCTAAGAAGTATACTTCAATGTGTATTCCCTTTCTTTGTATAAGTCATTATGTGATGAATATGTAGAAAACAAACCGACTGAAGTACTACTGAAAGACTATGAAATTGTTAGGTAATACTTTGAGAAAAGAGATGATCTATGAGTGTATCTACACCCACTCAGGTCTATGCGAGTACCTCATCTTGCGCACAATGCAATCCCACACAGAAACAACAGGAGACTGAAGAAGGATGAAGTGGTAAGAGCTCATAGTTCTGTCCTGTGCCAGTTTTCCGGATTTCCCAGAATTCTTGCATTTTCCCATGTCACACAAACCACCCAAATTAGTAAGAGTTGATTGAGAACTGGTAAAATACAAAGCTCAGACCAATTAAAGCAACTCACATGGCCTTTCCCTCCTGCCTGAAAAGAATTAAAAGGTCAGTAATCTAATACAAAACATAGCAAGACATCAAGAGAAGTGAGAATAACATGTTCCTATGTCCTATCTAATAACAACATTTATAAGATTCCCACCAACACAACCACAAAAAGGACCAAAAGAGAGATTCCAGATCAGGAGAAGCATTGAGAAAGCATCATGTTCTTTATTTAGTAAGTTACATATGGCACAACTAAAAGGTATGATCAAGAGTCTGGTTTAAGAAAGCATCATATACCTCACAACTACCAACAAGAATCAACCCAAACACGGTATATGGGTATTGGGGCAAACTGTACAAAGACCTAACTTCTACTGTAAGGAGTGGATTCCGATGGGAGACCTGAACCACGGCACGGGCAACAATCAGAATACCCAAATCATGCACTATCTCTACATTCAAATAGCTACACATATAAAACAGATTAAACACACCAACTACTAATCATCCGCTGGTTTGATCGTTCAGAAAGCAGAAAAAAGAATCCTTTTCCCCATTTTTTTTCTTGTGGTGGTGGAATTCGAACCCTAATTCAAAAAAATAGTTGCAATTAGACCGATTTCTGTCCCATCAAACCCGTATTCCAAATAAATCGATTGAAATCCCTTCAAAAATTCAATTTTAGCAGAAACCAAAACCGATCTACCATGTAACCAATCGTAATACTAGTCAGAGGCCAAACAAAGCAAAAACACATGACTACTACACGAATCATATACGAGAAGTTTCAGATCTGATCGATTGACTGGAGAAAGAGAGTGATAGAAGCAGACCTGATGAACACGAAACCGCCGCCCACGCCAGAAAAGAAAAATCTACGCTCTTGCGGTGGTGAATAGAATAGACAGGCTTGGAATCAGAATCTCAGAGAGTTCATCGCCATTAATATACTGAGGAGTATTTGGATCTGGAATATCAAAGAGACGGGGAAGAGTAGGAGAAGGGTAAAATTGGCAATTCGATTAAATAGGACGCGTGGAGGTTAAAAGGTACCCTTCGTCCCACGCAGTTTCTCAAATCTCAATAAAGTAAATGAACTAAATTTGGTCACACCAACTCCAAAAGTAAAGAAAGATCTACTAAAACAGTTGAATTTGTTGTACATAAAAATTGACACTAATGTAAAGGTCAAATAGTATTCTCACATTTCTAAAAACATCGTTTCAGATTTAACTTAAGTAATTTTAATTTAATTTATTTAATTATAAGGGTAACATTTAAAAATAAAATTTATATTTAATGATATTATTATATTATTTATCAAATACTACTTCCGTCCCAGAGTATTCGTCCACTTTCATTTTTGCACATCATCCAATGCATTTCTTTAATCCATTTTATCTTGTATATTAAATAATTATAGAAATTATATATTAATAATCTATATGTTAAGACAAATCAAACAAGATCACGCATGACTATATTTAGGCTTACACATTGAGAAAATTTGATGAGTTAAAGTGCTTAGATGAACAGTTCCAAAAGTCAAAAGTGGACAAAGAGAGTGGGACGGATGGAGTAATTAATAAAATGAATAATATAAGTGAACAAGTATGACGATATAATTAATAACTGAGAATACAATTTTAGAATGAAGAGAGTATCTTTTACGGAGTATATGTTATATGTAGTCGGGTAACAAAAAATGTACTCTCTAGTTCCTACAACCTGAATTAATTTACACATCTTGGTTTCACGTGATTTAAAAAGAAGAATTACTCCGTAAGATATAAAAAATACTGTAAGTGATTATTTATTTAGAAGAAAGAAAAATGATACATCTACTTTATTACTCCGTAAAAAAAGCAAGAAATTATTATATTTTTGGCTAAACTAACAAAGAACATTTATTACATGATTTGGTTCTCAAAAAAATGTACTAGTTGATTTGGTTCTTTGTGTATACGCGACACGATATAAATTCTCTGAAAAATAAATTGAGGATATGTTGTGTATGGATTTATATTCAAAAGGCCACGAGAAAAGCCAGTGAAAGAAAAAAAGAAGATAGAAAATGAAGGGTTGGAAATCAAAAGGGACAATAACAAATATAGCACAACTCTACTAATTCGTAAAAAATATGTGAGGAGACCTATGTTTAACATATGAATTATAGGATCACAATGGCACAACTCTACGAATTCTTTATTTTTTAAAAAATGTTTTCTACATCCTCAAATTGTTTTAAGTACTTATCAAGTTTTTATATTTTCTAATTGGTACGTAAGTAATTCCTCTTGGTGCCTTTTCGAGGTTTGTGCATAAGAAATTATGGTATAGCGTTTATATATAGTTCAATTCTTTCTTTCCTTTTTTTAGTTTACCTTTTGTCATATTTATATGACCCATAATCTTCTTCCTCCTCTTCAAGATTGTATAACGAGTCCAATTGGACGAATAGTCTCGTAGGAATTTGGTGTTACACAGGACAACTCATTCAAAATAGTGACTATACAATTTTCCTTGTCACCCAGCACATGACATGTACCACACCCCTCCAGAAGTTGGGGCCATCTATGAAAATTATCAAAAATGACAACCCCAACGGGGCAGAAAGGAACACCACAATTTCTACCATATATACTCTACCACTTTATTCAAACTTTTTTTTTGAAACCTTTCAAACTTGTAGTTTAGAATTTAAGAAAATTAATCAAAAAAAAAATTAGTAAATTACTTAAACCACTCCGTAATAATCCAACTACACTCTCTTACGAGATTCAAAAAAAAAAGGATAAACCTCAATTGAGGAAAGTAATTAAACTAATCTCAATCTAGCTGATAGTCGATATAGGGTAGAGTTTTGATCCGGATACAAAATTTGTAGAGACTTCATGTTTTGCATGATAGTCTCTCAATACATTTGTCCAGATTCAAACTTGGTTCTACTCTTTTGACACCCAAAAGCAACATGTGTTTAACTAACTTCACTGGCTACACTCCTTACAAGATACTCCGTATAAGATACAACAATGAGGTTAGGGAAAAGAGTTAACAATTTCCACCAACTAAAAAAAACAATCTTTGATTTACATGGCACTCAAAAATGGGCTATTGGAGGAATGCACATCTTCTTGATATCTCCATTGAATGGGGTCTTCAAAGGCTGCACTTTGATCTCATAAAGTTTGGGCCATAGTTTGCCAGTCACTGTATGGAGAGTTTCCTTGCATTATAAACTGGGTGCTCATATTTTATCACAAGCATATACTAAAACTAGATGATTCTAAACCTATACTCCGCATTTTCATACGAATGCATTGTCTAGCTGCTCTATTCGGCCATGAAAATTAGATAACACGGAGTAATATGTACAAGCTCATATCTATAGGTCTTAATAACAAAGGTAATTTATTGTTTCCAAAATAGCTTCTCACTTTTTTTTTGTACTCGGTTAACATACATTGTGATCACGAAGTACTTATGTTGCTCCTTTCATTTTGACTCGGTTAACATTGATCCTCTGCCTCACATCTTTATCAATACCTTCATTTCCTTATATAATACCTTCCATCTTTCTCTAAGAAAAATCACACATACACAAGGTCATTTAGGAACGGTTGGGAGTGGCACGTGTGGAAGATAAGTCGCGAGAAGCTAGGATGAAGTGATTCGGGCACATGAAGCAGAGAGGTGTTGATGCCCCAGTGAGGAGATGAGAGACTGCGAGAGACTTATGATAATGAGTGAGAGTGGGGGAAGGGGTAGACCTAGAAAGAGTTTGAGATTTCAGACTTTTGGACCTTAGATGGGAACATCCGGAGATCTAGAATTTGAGTACTGGGGTAGGCTGTTGGACCTTGGTGGTAGTCTTTGTGCAAGTGCTTTCTGCCCTTGTCTTTATGTGCATTCTGTGCAGGAGTCTAGTAGCTAGTTTGGGTCTGTGTGCTACATGTTCTTGTGCGCTTTTCTTTGCTTTTACAGTAGTTTGCTCTTTGCTACTGGTTTGTTTGATCTTGTCTTCAGTGTTTTTCTTTGCTTCTAGTCTGCTATTTGCTATTTGATACTACTCTGTTTGTTGGTTTACGTTGTCTGTGCTTGAGACGGGGTCTCTTAGAAACCTCTTTTATTTTGAGTAGGGGTAAGGTCTGCATACACACACCCTCTCCAAACCCTACGTTTAGTGGGATTTCACTGGGTCCGTTGTCCCTCAAACGTTCCCAGAAGAGCGTGTCTTCCAAAACATTATGTTACATGTCTAAATTTTATGTGCATCAGATTTGGATCTAGAATATTAGTACAGCTGTACTGTTTTACGTGCAACAACATCAACATAGTTGAATCCCACAAGAGTAGGATTGGGGAGGGAGTTTTACGTGAACAACAAATGACGGGCTTACCGAAAATACGGCTTCCATCTTTATCCCATGCTATGCCATTCAGGACATCAATTCTCTGTAAGGTAATCAAACGCAGATTAAATCTCAAGGATAAGAAACAATATTAGTATATGAAAAAGAGGCATCTCAAGCAAAAATGCTTACTGTGTACCCACTTGCTAGTAATCCTTCTCTGTAAAATAAATAAAAAAACACGCGCACACACATCTCAGCAAATGGTCTGTTCAACTCTAAACTGCGTTTCCAAAAAATTGAGAATAAACAGCATTATTTGGGGGGGGGGGGGCTATGAACCTTAAATTGGGAAGGAGAATCCATCCCTGCACCATGCCATCTTTTGGAGAGATTCTAGCAATACAATCAGTCTGTAGAAAGAAGTTGAGCATTTTAGTGATCATACACATGGGACAACATTAAAATTTTGCGGCGGTGGGCAAGGACATTTGGTTTGTTCAATATTGTACTGGGCAGCACATGTGCCACTCGGGCACTCCATGTGCGGAGGAAGTCCGCATTAAAAAATGGTGTTACATGCACTGTCGTGTACCACGTAGCATAATGTTCTTGAAGATTACAATAGAACATTACTAGGTGAGAGAAGGTTCATACCATCCACACATTAGCCCAAACTTCACCATTGACAAACTCAAGCTCATTGAGATTCGGCACTTCTCTCCCTTGATACACCACAGTATGTTTTTTTATGACTGCATTATTCAGAAGGTAACAAAAATGATAAAGGGCAAGATGGCAAAAACCACTCTAATAGTCTAATAGCAGAATTTCCCTTGACTTTGGAACATTGGAACCTTTCATAGAATAAGGATCAATCTGATACAATGTTGAAGATCCGTCACTGCCATACAAAACTTCCCCGTCAGTTGCCAATCCCCAACCATCATGCATTTCATGAGTAAAACCCTCAAACTGCATTGGTTAAAAGTTTCCAAAAACTTCATGCCATGCAAATAGACTGAGCTTAGTGTTTTAAAGCTTTATAAGAAAAATAATTGCAGGCAACGAAAAACTGAACACACTTTGCTTATATTATGCCGGTCATATATATAACCAGTATTGTGCTGCCATGTTACTTGATATAACCTACAAATAAAATCCAGAGACAGTATCAGAATTGCACCCAGAGTTCTAACATTAATACAGTATGCAATGGCAAATAAAATAGAGGTAAGAACTGGAGTTTATGACATAAAAAGAAACCATAGGTTTGCAGTTTAATTCCAAATGAGAAAGAAATCAGTACCCCAAAATCTCCAAATTTTAGCTCAGAGGGAAAAACTTACTCGGGGTTTTTCCAATAATAAAAATAGTCAATCAGTTCATCAGAATAAAAATTAAGAGATACAAATTTTCGAAACAGCTTATGTTTTCTTGGCAAACCTGTCACCATGTAGCGTTAGGCCCTCCCCAAAATCAGAATACTGCATTACGTGAATAGCTTCTACCTGTGATCTAACACTGTTTGAGATACAATCATACAAAGCAACCACTCCAAAAGATTCACAAAAGGGCTAAACGTCTAATCAATTATCCGCTAATGCAATTCCATATTTACATTGCCTATCGTTCAAAAGAGCAGACACTTGTGGGAGTAAGGTTCTTAGGAAAAAGCATCTCTATCCTCTGTAAGTAGGATAAGGTTTGAACACCCATCCCCCCCAGACCCCACTTGGACTTCACTATATAGGTTGATGTTGTTGTTGTCAAATCGTTATGAAGAATTTGCATAATATACCTCGCCAGTTGAAAGAGTAACTCTCCTAACAGATGACTGCAGTTAAGAATAAAACAATCAGATTGGAAGCCTTATCACATTCCTTACAAACTCATAGTTTTGGAGTCTAAGAGCAATTTCAAACTCACTCGTCCATTTAGTCCAGTTGATTCAAATAAGGTATTATTTTCAGCATACAGTAGACCCTGAGAAAAAACTTTTATCATATTAGATGCAACAAAACCATAAAAGTAATGAAACATAAAAGTAGAAAAATAGTCTAGAGAAACATAAAAGTAATGAAATTTACACAATCCATAACATTCTTATGGAAAAATGGAGATACTAGAAAAATAGTAACCGTAGATCATAATAACTAATAAGCACAAAGTTTCATTGTCCAGTATTGTCAATATATTAAGCTCAATTAAAACTAAGAAACAATGATCTTGTTTTGTAGATGTTGATTTATAAATACGGAGTATAAATCTTATTATGGCACTAAAACTAGAAGTGCAAGTGAATGAAGATAATGAACTTGTTTGGAATAACATGTTTGACTAACGTTAGCATTTTGAATAAAATTTTAATGGTATAAATTAACTTTGAAAATGCTAAGACTAAATGCTGCCGTTAAATAGCCTTGCCAAACCGTCACAATAACAGATTTGAAATTAAGTTTCTCCGTGAGAGGGTTACTACAAACCCTAACATGGATTCAATTGATGGTGATGGTGAGAACAACCATATATTAATCATTGAGAATTTAAAGGTAGAAATGAGATAGAAAATCCGACCTGAGTAAAGGCGTCTGGATCGTGAGGGAACTCGTTGATTACTTCGCCGGTGTACAGAAGCTGATCGGGGAAGGGGTGATTCGAAGCTCCAAAAGCACGCTCCCTGCTCGACGAAATGCTTAAGAGAGCTATCAAACATACCGCTAGGATTGCCGAAACTGTTAGGGAAGTCTTCCTGTGATTCAGTTTGAAATATGAGGATGAAGAAGCCGTCTTCGTCGGTTTTTGTTGGGGCCTCGGCATCGATTTTTTGTTGGACTTCCTTCTCATCGTCGCGCCTACCGGATTTAGCCGGAGATTTCCATCTGGTTTGGCGCCAATGGAATGCTCGATTGTTCGCTGCAATGGAATTGGCGGAGGGTTGTTGACTATCGCTAGTCAACGGGCACTCGGCCAGAGGTTTTGGACCGTTCAGGCATTGTTTGGAATAAGAGAGAGAGAAAATGAAAATTATAAAATGGATGGAAAGAAAATAGAGTGAAGAGAAAATGAGGGTAAAATGAATGTTGTTCGGATAAATAGAAAATGAAGAGAAAAAGTGAGAGGAAAAAAAATGTGATAAATAAAAATTTACTTTTGCCTTTTTATATTTTTTCGTTTTGAAATTATCTTCTGAGATTTACTTGGTACGATTTTTAATAAAGTAGAATGTCAGTGATTATGGTTTGTATAGAAAAAAAGATAATTAATATAGACCACATATTCATTTCCTTAAAATGAAAGAAGAAGAAAATTTGGAGACAACCCAAATAGGAAAGAAAGAAGATATTTTTTTCTAGTCACATTTCTTTCCAAATTACTCCCCATGAGGTAATTTCTTGAATACAAAAAAACACTACTCTAGCTTTGTTTTTTTTGAGTTGGAATTTAAGAATTTGATATTGAAAAAAAGTGGAAGGAGTTAAAAGAAACTCAAAGCAGTTAGAAAAAACTGGAAGGAATTAGGAAATGTTGAAAGAATTAAAATGCTAAAATGTCACTCAATAAAATGATCGTTGAAATAAATATATAAGAAAATTTTAATTTTAAATATAAAAAAATCATCATCATCTATATTTGAGTTGAAATTTTATGCATTGAAATAAATACTGTTTTAAATCATTGTTGGAAGAAACTAAAAGGAGTTGAAATGGAATACAGAGTAGATGAAATTGGAAAGAGTTAGAAAAAATTAAATATTAATTTTTCCAACTTAAAAGAACATGATCTTAAAAGGAAATAAAAACGTTAACAAGCGTATGTAAAAAAAGAAAAAAGAAAAAATGGGTGTATAAAAAAATGGATGGACCACTCACAAAAGTCACAATGGTATACCAAAATATGATTGCATCAAGAAAGATTTAACATTTAAAAAAAAATTAGAGATGTGGGCATAGGATGGAGCATGATGAAGAATTTCTGAATTATAGGGCTCCAATAATGAATTCAATGAAGAGCAAAAAAGTCATTTTGCCCACCACTATTGATCTCAAAATGGGAGTTGAGGACTTAGCACACCTCGTTTGGAGTTGAGGACTTTGCATACCTTTTTTTGGGTGTGAAGTTATGCTATGGTTGAGAATTCAGGTTTGGCATGACATTAAAAAGGGCCTCTCTATTCTTTCTTACCATGGATGAGAGATGGATGCATATACAAGTCACATATATAGGAGATATGTTGTCAAGAGAAAAGTTATGCGGTTGGCTTTAACTGTTACGATGTACTATGTTTAGAAGGCTAGGAGCGCAATTTGTATTAATCACTCCTCACTTTGTGTTACCTCTATCATTTCTAAAATTAAGGTTGTATTTGTAGTGTCTTGTATAAGGTTTCTGGTCTAATGTCTATGTATGAATGATTTTTAAGTTTGGCATGTGTGCTACTTTATTTAATGTTCTGTGACTTTGATATTTATAAAAAACTTGATGTTTGAAGTATCTGTCTTATTTGTATTTCTTTTCTATGTATTTCAATATTATTTCATGTCATCCAAAAATGGGAGGAAAATAGAAGAGGATAGCTTTCTTAATGAATATAATTTTATACCTCTCATACAATTACACTCCCTTCCTCCTATTTTATTTTTTTCTTGTTTTGAATTTTTTTTATGTAAAATTATGATATTCTTTGACCAAAAATTTAATATAATTTATGAAATAAATATTTTAAATATTTGATATATTATGATTATTTTTTTATATGCGTTTAATTATATTAAATTTTAACTTATAACTAAATATAATTTATCACAATTTGTAAGGAATGTTGTGTCACTATTTGATTAAAAAATCAGGTATTTTGGGACGAAGATAGTAATACTTATTTTTATTTAGGCTACATATAAAAAAATAATTTTAAACATTTGAATGTGAAGTGCCCAGTAATTTGATTATTTTAAATAGATGATGAGAGTATTTTATTTTTTGAAATTACTAAAATTGTTAACAAAACGGTTACATGGGCCATATGCCACGGCACAAGTGCAGGAACATTCGAGATCTTAATTGAAAAAGTCAAAGGACGGACCTGTGCTTTCTACGACATCGTTTTGTTGGCATCGAAGAAATTGAGCGCCTGGAGGGACGTAGAATACTCCAGAAGCTGCCATAGAAGTAGCACCAAACTTTTCCCTTCCCATGGCGGATGGAAGGTCCTAGAACTCGCTCCTACAGGTCGTATATAAACCCCACTCCCCTCTCCCCATCATACGATCAAATCAAACGAAATCTCTCTCTCTCAAAGCGAATTCACAATTTCACACAGATCAATTCTCTAAAGCGTCTCCGATTCACGCAAGCTTAATCGTTAATGGCGGAAGTTCAGATGGCCGAGGCGGAGACCTTCGCCTTCCAGGCGGAGATCAACCAGCTGCTCAGCTTGATCATCAACACATTCTACAGCAACAAGGAGATTTTCCTGCGAGAGCTCATCAGCAATTGCTCCGATGCTTTGGATAAGATCCGGTTCGAGAGCTTGACTGATAAGAGCAAACTCGATGCCCAGCCGGAGCTCTTCATTCGCCTTGTTCCTGACAAGGCCAACAAGACGCTCTCCATTATTGACAGCGGTATCGGCATGACCAAAGCAGGTAACCGTCAATTTCCTTCTCGTTCTGGTTTATTCCTGTTTCCTGATATAGTTTCTTGCATCCATTGTTAATGTTTATATATCCTGCTCGTCCTGTATATGCACTTTCATTATTTGATTGTTCGATTTCATTACACGCTCATCAGTATGATAAGTTGATCACTTGCTCATAACAATCTACAATGCACGTCTCTACTCGTTGATAAACTTAAAAATGAAAACGATCTGGAATTCAATATCAATATATGCATACAGTTATCATTTTATTGTGCGCCAGGCTCACTTTAATTGCTTAAATTTTCATAAATTTTTGATATCATTATTTTGCTGTGGTTTTGATGAATAATTTACTGAATCGCCTGTTCCAAAAAAATTACTGAGTTGCCACAAAGTTGAGGTTTAGTTTATTAGTTGTCAGTAATGAGAAGTTTAATTGGAATTACGTTTAGAATCTACATTTTTCATGTCAATATTACTATGTTAAACATAGTAAACATTTCTCTGTTGAATCATATCTATGCATAGCTTTCTGAAACGTTGCTGATGCTAGATTATATGCATAATGTTGTTTTCGACAGATCTGGTGAACAATTTGGGTACGATTGCAAGGTCTGGCACCAAGGATTTTATGGAAGCGTTGCAGGCTGGGGCTGATGTGAGCATGATTGGTCAATTTGGTGTGGGTTTCTACTCTGCTTACCTCGTTGCGGAGAGGGTTATTGTGACCACCAAGCACAATGATGATGAGCAGTACATCTGGGAATCTCAAGCTGGTGGCTCGTTCACTGTTACTAGGGATGTAGATGGAGAACCGCTTGGAAGGGGAACTAAGATCACTCTCTTCCTCAAGGAGGACCAGGTAAATATTTTGCAATTCAATAGTTTCTGAATTATAATGCGTGTTAATGATTGTGCAAGCATCTTGACTTATGCATGATATTTTGCAGTTGGAGTACTTGGAGGAGAGGAGACTCAAGGACCTCGTGAAGAAGCATTCTGAGTTCATTAGCTACCCAATCCACCTGTGGACTGAGAAGACAACTGAGAAGGAAATCAGTGATGATGAGGATGACGAGCCCAAGAAGGAAGAAGAAGGTGATATTGAGGAAGTTGATGAGGAAAAGGAGAAAGAAGGTAAAAAGAAGAAGAAGATCAAGGAGGTCTCTCATGAATGGCAGCTCGTCAACAAACAAAAACCACTCTGGCTGCGGAAGCCAGAAGAGATCACCAAAGAGGAATATGCCTCTTTCTACAAGAGCTTGACCAATGACTGGGAAGACCACCTTGCCGTTAAACATTTCTCTGTTGAAGGTCAGCTTGAATTCAAGGCCATCCTCTTTGTTCCAAAGAGGGCACCCTTTGATCTCTTTGACACCCGCAAGAAGATGAACAACATCAAGCTGTACGTCAGGAGGGTGTTCATCATGGACAACTGCGAGGAGCTCATCCCCGAATACCTTGGATTCGTGAAGGGTGTTGTGGACTCTGATGATTTGCCACTCAACATTTCCCGGGAGACCTTGCAGCAGAACAAGATCCTCAAGGTGATCAGGAAGAACCTTGTCAAGAAGTGCATTGAGATGTTCAATGAGATTGCCGAGAACAAAGAGGACTACAACAAGTTCTATGAATCATTCTCCAAGAATCTGAAACTTGGAGTCCATGAAGACAGCCAGAACAGGGCCAAGTTGGCTGACTTGCTGCGATATCACTCGTCCAAGAGTGGGGATGAGCTGACAAGCCTGAAAGACTATGTCACCAGGATGAAGGAGAAACAGAAAGACATCTACTACATCACCGGAGAGAGCAAAAAAGCTGTTGAGAATTCACCTTTCCTGGAACGTCTCAAGAAGAGAGGCTATGAAGTTCTGTTCATGGTTGACACCATAGATGAGTATGCAGTTGGTCAGCTTAAGGAGTACGATGGCAAGAAGCTGGTGTCTGCAACCAAGGAAGGTCTCAAGCTGGAAGAGGAGGATGAAGAAGAGAAGAAGTCACGGGAAGAGAAGAAGAAATCCTTTGAGAGCCTTTGCAAGGTCATCAAAGACATCCTCGGTGACAAGGTCGAGAAGGTGGTGATATCTTATAGGATCGTCGACTCTCCCTGCTGCTTGGTGACTGGGGAGTACGGATGGACTGCGAACATGGAGAGGATCATGAAGGCCCAGGCACTGAGAGACACCAGCATGGGCTCTTACATGTCCAGCAAGAAGACGATGGAGATCAACCCTGACAATGGCATCATGGAGGAGCTGAGGAAGAGAGCTGAGGCCGACAAGAACGATAAGTCTGTGAAGGATCTGGTTCTCCTCCTGTTTGAGACTGCGCTGCTCACATCTGGGTTCAGCCTCGATGACCCGAGTACTTTTGGGGCCAGAATTCACAGGATGCTGAAGTTGGGTCTCAGCATTGACGATGAAGAAGCTGCTGGTGATGAAGATGCAGAGATGCCTGCTTTGGAAGAAGCTGGGGAGGAAAGCAAGATGGAAGAGGTTGACTAAGGAGCAGGGGAAGCATATGATGAAGTATTCATTTTGTCTGTCTCTGTTTGGGTCTTTGGTTTTTTTTCTTTTTTTTCTTTAAATGTTCATTCTCTATATGTCTCTAGTTGAGTCCGGTGTCTGAACTTTTATCCGCGTCTGTTTTGTGTTCAAGCATCGAGGTTTTAATATTAATGGTGTTTTGGGGACAAATTTCTTCCTATTTGCTAGTTACAGAGTATTCTCATGATTAACACGTCGCCTTTCAATATTTTAATTGGAGAAGAAAAAACATTGAACTGCCTCCTCCCAAAGAGGGATTGGGAAATTGAGAAATAATGCTATGTAATGAGCAAACTACTGTGCTCATGAGTCCTGAAAAAGCAAGGCGAGGTAAGTTCAATGTACATTCAGAAAGACTTATTGATACTGAAACTTCCAGTAATGCATTTACACAGTAACATTTTAACAAACAATGACCAACAGAGACAATGAAAGGAGAGAAGAATTGAAAAAAAATTTAAAACTTTGATACGTATTTCTTAATATGGCATTCGTTCTTGAAACATACTCGCACCTTTTTCAAAAACTGGCAGAGGTTTGTAATTTACTCGCCATTAAAATCGGGGAGGGGAGAGCAAGATGTTGTGGGTGAGCTCCAAGGGTTTTGTGTCATTTGGATCGGCTGAGGACTTGTATATATGACCTTATTCTTTGATGTGCACGCCTAAAAATTGGATACACTTTATTTGGAAGGCGTACATCCCACCAGAATTTTCATTCTCTTTTTGAATGCACTTTATTTCGTGATACACTACCCACGGAATGAAGCTTGACTTTCATTGACATGCCACGACATTCACTTTTGGCTTGGCGCTGATAAGGAACTTTCTACTCTTGCCAGATTGAGAGGTGGATGTGCAAGTCACACAGGGGACTAATCGTCAAAAGGAAGGCTATGCGGCTGGTTTTTCGCTGCTACTCTGTACTATGTTTGGAGGATTTGGAAAGTTTGTTTTGATCACTCCTCACTTTATGTTACCTCTATCATTTCTAAATCAAACTTGTGATTTATAGAGTTCTAAATATGCATTTTCTGCCATGTGTGATTGATATTTAAGCTTGATCTTCGTGCAACTCTAAGTTTTTAAATATTGTAAATTATTTGATGTTCCAAAATATGTGCAGGTTGAGCCGGGGGTCTCTTGGAAACAGCTTCCCTACTTTCGAGTAGGGGCAAGGTCTGTGCACACACCTTCCCCAGACCTTACTGTATTGGGATTCAACTGGGTTGTTATATTTGATGTTCCAAAATGTCCGTTCATTTTTTACTCTTTTTCCCTGAATTGTAAATTGTAATATTATTTACATTTTACCCAAATACTACCTCCGTTCTAGAATATTTGTTCACTTTCATTTTTACATACCATCCAATACATTTTTTTAATCCATTTTATCTTGTAATTTGTATATTAAAAAATTATAAAAATTATATATTAATAATCTATATGTTAAAACAAATCAAACAAGATGACTATATTTAGGCTTATATATTGAGAGAATTTGATGAACAATTTCAAAAATTAAAACTGGACGAATACTCTCGGACGGGGAGTAAAAGTGAGAATAAAAAATACATTTTTAGTCAAAATCCAGAACTTATAATCAGTCTAGAAAGTCAAAATGATTCCAAAATTTGTCCAAAAACAATTTTAATGTTAGATATATTTTTGGTAACTTTTTAAAACTTCCACGGATGCAATTGGCACTTCCACATCTCACTCCGCATTCCCTTTTCTGTTCTTCTCCTCATCCTTCGAGGCTTCAACAATGGCAACTAGCACTCCGACCCCGATCTTCATTTCCGCCGCCACACTCCGCCGCCACCTGACGCACGACTCCCTCATCCGCCACCTCCACTCCACCCTCCCCGCCCAAATCACATCCCCAATCCGCCACACTCACGACACGAGCCCCTCCTCCGCCCTCCTCCTCATGCCGTCCTGGTCCCTCTCCCCCTCCCTCCCATACGTCGGCGTAAAGCTGGCCACCGTCCATCCCAACAACTCCGCCCTAAACTTTCCCGGAGTCCACGCGACTTACTCGCTCTTCAGCTCCCTCACCGGCCAAACCCTAGCCGCCATGGACACCACCGACCTCACCCTCTACCGCACCGCCTGCATCTCCGCCCTGGCTTCGAAATTCCTGTCGAGAGAAAGCTCCGAGACGCTGGTGATGGTCGGCGCCGGCGAATTAGCCCCGCATCTGATCAGAGCACATCTCACCGTGCGTCCTGGATTGAAGAGGGTGATAATCTGGAACCGAACCCCAGTTAGGGCAAAATCCCTAATTGAGAAATTGAAGAGTGAAATCGGATCCGAAGGCCCTATTTTCGAGAGCAACACGGTTTTGGAGGATGCGGTGGGGCTGGGAGACATAGTGAGCTGCGCGACAAGTTCAGAGACTCCATTGGTGAAGGGAAAGGAGATGAAGGCGGGTGCGCATTTGGATCTGGTGGGATCTTTCAAGCCTTCCATGAAGGAATGCGACGACGAGGCGATTCGCAGGGGGAGAGTGTTTGTGGACTGTGAAGCAGCCATGGAAGAGTCTGGGGAACTGGTTGGTGCTGTGGAGAGAGGGGTGATTACCAGGGAGGGTATAGCTGGGGATTTGGTGGATCTGATAAAGGGGGAAAAGGTTGGGAGAAAGGGAGAAGAAGAGATTACAGTGTTCAAATCAGTTGGTTCTGCTGCTGTTGATCTCCTTACTGCTCAGTTTGTGTATGAGGCTTGCATCAAAGATCAAAGTGAGTAACATGTTTTAATTAAGGAAGTCCTTTGAATTCTGATAATGTAGTAATAATATTGTGATGGAAAATGCTATTCTGACCCCCCAACATTTGAACCACACTTTTTTACAAGTGAAATTTGCACTAAATAGAACTAAAATATAAATCATTTCCCAATGTAGGACTTAAAACTTTTTTTCCCTATATAGGACTTAATAATGTCTAGTGGGAGGAATAATGTCTAATAATGATGGACATTTAGTTGAATAATGACTAATTGATAATGACCAAAAGTCCTACATTGAGAAATAAAAACATATGATCCTATATTGAAAAAGTCATTATGTTTTAGTCCTATTTAAGTAATTTCTCTTCTTACAAACCTTAGAGACAAGCATTCGACACTATTCAGTATCTCTAAATGTGTAAGAATGGATTAAAAGGGGGTTCAAATGTTGATGTTCCTCAAGTGTGAGGGCACTGGGTATACCCATAATGCCGGTCGGTGTTATGCCGATTTTCACGCCCGACCGGCGTTAAACACCGCCCCTTGCGGCGTGCCCCCCTGCGGCGTGCCCCCCCTGCGGCGTGTTTCGGGCGTAATTGAAGACGCGTCATTCGTTTGACGCTGATCCCCTCCCCCCTAACGACTAATTTAGCCGTTGAAACCCAAAAAAAAAAATTAAATAATTTTTTTATAAATCTCAAACTCCCCCCCCCTCCCATTCTCACACCTTTAATCTTCAATCTTATTCACATTCTTCAATTCTCCAATTCTCCAACTCTCTTTTGAACATGAATTCTTCAGGCTCCGGCTTCTTTCCCGACAATCTTGAGTCTCACGAGTTGGCGATGTGGTATTACCAAGAATTCGGGAATCATCCGCCGATAATCGAGACGCAACAATCGGGGTACGTCGAGCGAGATTCGGTTCCGGAGACTCAACCAGAATCGACCGGGTCGAAAAAAAGTACACGCCGGAAAAGCCACAAAGCCAAAGGCACGATGATCGAGGCGGCACGGTCAATCCAAAAGTGGACGTCGGAGGAGGAGTGCTTATTGGCGTCGGCTTGGGTTGACGTCTCCGAGCATCCTATCATTGGTAAAAAATTTATTTTTTATAATATATTTATGTTTTTATTTATATATATTATATTTAATCGTGTCTAAAAAAATTGTGTTATACATTTTTAAAGGTTCGGAGCAAACGAAGGATGCGATGTGGGATCGTATCGAGGAGAAGTTCTTTACGGCGATGAACAAGGACGGCTCCTACCGCACCCGGGACCAACTCACTTACAAATGGAGCCACATCAACCATAAAGTCCGAAAGTTTATCGGAGTTTACGAGGAATCCTCCCGATCCCGAAGGAGCGGGACGAACGACGCCAATGTTCTCCGGCTTGCCACGGCCCAGTATCAAGACGACGGGCACCAAGACAAGGTGCCCATCGATCTTTGGAGGATTTTGAGCCGTTCCCCGAAGTGGCAACAATTCAATAATCCCGACGGCAGATCGTTCCGGAAAAGATCCTCCGTCGACGCCGAGGTTGAGGTCGATGAGACTATCAGTTCGACCGATCAAATCCCTCCCTTCAACGTTGCGGATTCTGATGACGAGGACACCATTCCACGGCCGATCGGAAGAAAGAAGGCAAAATACATTGCCTCGGTTTCGGGAGGGTCCGGCTCTGTTTCCGTTTCTTCTCACGACGAAATTGGCCGGGAAATGGTTGAACAACTTCGGGCGTTCAATCTCCGAGAACAAGAGAGGTTGAAGCTAAAGGAGAAGGAGTTGAAGCTAAAAGAGCAGGAAGTCGAGATGAAAGTCATGGAAACCGACCTTTCTACGTTGTCGGAGATTGGACGAATAATCTACGAGCAAAGAATAAGAGAGATCAAGAAGAAATATAATTTTCTTTAGTTTTTTTATTTATTAATGTATTTTTTTATTGTCGTTTTTTTATTTAATGAATGTATTTTTTTTATTATTCGTGTTTTAATATAATTAAATAATAAATTAATTACATTTTATTAATTTAATTTTAGAAGATATAAATTTAAAAATGTAAAAATGAAGGTTTGATGCCCCAGTTTGAGGTATCGGGGCTTTAAACCAATTTCCAGTGAATTTTGAATGTAAGTTAAGGCTGACGTAGCAGAGAGAGAAAGTTTGAAGCCCCAGGGCTTCAAACGTATTTCTAGTGCCCTAAGGATTTGGTTTAAAATGGGGAATATCATATTATTGAGTTGTTCTTGAAGCCAAGACGTCATAAAAATAAGAAATTACTGTGTGGAACACCCATGAAAACATTTCCCCAAATAAAAGTATTTGGGTTTTTTCTAATTTGGTGTGCCCCTCAAAAGGATGAAAGACTCTGCACTCAAGCAGAGAGACGTAAGTCACGTAACGCTATCCACTTTTGTTTCTGTTTGGAGCCCCAATCCTATCCAACTCGGGTCTCAAGAAGCCCACATTTATTGCATATTTACCGGCAATCGTTAGACCGATTCTAAAAAAGTTTTTTGGAGATGGGCTCATCCTATTTTGAAAGTAAAGAAAATGAGAAGAAACCTATAGAAATAAAGAAAAATACGGAGTATGTTACTGCATATGAGTTAAAAATGATTTTTCTTTAAACATTTTACTAATCGGTATTTATTTGTGATTTAAATAAGTATTTACTTTCTCTGTCTCAAATAAATTGTTTTACTATCTTTTTTAGTTTGTCTCAAAATAAATGTCTAGCTCTCTTAATTTTCTAGTAAAGAAAAGAATATGTGGTCTAGAATCTTTCTCTTCTTTTAGCTTAATCAAATTTCAACTACTACATTTTTCTTAAACTTTGTGAAGTGAAACTGAGATGATTAATTCAGAACGTATTAAAGATTTAATTTATTTTAGGAAAAATTATCCAAAATAATCCCAATTTTACCCGGTGTTTCAAAAATAATCTTACCTTTTACTGTGATGCATAATAATCCCAACTTTACTGAAATTTGCTAGTTTTGGGTCGCCGTTAAGTTTCTAACGGAGGGTTAACGGAAATGCCCGTTTTAGGCAACAAAATGAAAGTTGAGATTATTTTTTATGAATTTTTGTTTTTAAATTTTTTTTGAAATTTTTATTTAAATGTTTTGAATTACTTTCAACCTCCATTTCTTTTTCTTTTTTAAAGATTATTCTTACCTTAGAAAAAATAAATATAAAAAATAATGAAAATAAAAAAAATAACTAAACCATACAAAATTGATCAAATAAATAATGTAATCAATAGAAATTAAACAGAAATTGGTAAGAAATAAAATAAATATATATGGAGTGGTGGATTTTAACATTTTACACACTATACGGAGTCTTAATGTACTACTTATTTTTTAAAAGAACAAGCCGTCCGGTAAAGTTGAAATTATTGTAGATAATTTTTTCTAAAAAATAAGAAGTGATATGTTAATACTTTGTATAATGCGTAAAATATTAAAACCCACCCGTATATTTTTATTTTGCTTTTACCAATTTCAAGTTAGTTTCCATTGATTACCTTATTCATTTTATTATTTTTGTATCATTTTAGTTACATTTCTCATTTTTTCATTTTTTATATCTATTATTTTTATTTTTTAAATTAAGACTAATATTTAAAAAAGGAAAAAGAAATGATGATGGAGGTAGAAAGTAATTTAAAAAATTTAAATGAAAAATTTAAAAAAATAAAAAAATGATAATTCATCAAAAATAATCCCAACTTTCATTTTGTTGCCTAAAACGGACATTTCCGTTAACCCCCGTTAGAAACTTAACGGCGATCCAAAACTGACAAATTTCAGTAAAGTTGGGATTATTATGCATCAAAGTGAAAGGTGAGATTATTTTTGAAAGATCGGGTAAAGTTGTGATTATTTTGGGTAATTTTTTCTTTATTTTATATAAGAATGTTCACACGCATTTAAGATGCACGATAGAGTTTTTTTTGTATTTCAAATACAAACAAATTTTATTTTTTTCCCTACTCTTATGCAAATATTTAAATAGTTAACATGATTTAAAGATCACTAGTAACCATGGATGATGTCAAAGTTTGGAGTGATATATTTATTCATTGTTTGACCGAAAGTACATCCTATTAAATTTCTCATAAGTGCACAAAGAAAGTTTTGATGTTTTATACGGAGTGGAGCCTGCCTGCCTGCAACATGGCGCGCACCTCTCTCTACCAACCTCCACCAAACCATACTTATTGTTTTCTTGATCCCCTTTAATTGCTAATTTTCTTTATACTCCGTAAAAAAAATCAAATGGGGCAATTACAAATTACCCTTTCTCCCTTTCTGAGTATTTGTCTGTTTTTAAGTTTTTTGGTTAAAATTAATAAAATTTAACTTCAAATTAAATAAAAATAATATTAAAAATTTATACAGAATAATTTTATTAGATTTATTATATCAAATATTTTTAAAATATTATTTTATCTAATTAATATACAATATATATTTTATTTAAATATAGATCAAATGTTAAAAACTATTGACCGAAAAAGTCAAAATTAAGAACATATTTTTGTGGGGGTATATTGGGATTCACTCCATAAAAATATTTAATACTTCCCCTCTCTCCCAATGTTTACATAACCAATTTGATTTTTTTCAAATCAACCAAAAATAATTTTTAACATATAATTAAATATGGAAAATATATAATATACTCTCTATGTCTCAATTTGAATCGTCTGCTATTATTTAAAAGATCTGAATAACACTATTTTTAATTTAATTACTAGAAAAATTGTGTGAGATTAAAAAAATAAAATATACATACTCCCTCCGTCCAATAATTTATTTTAGACTTTCCTTTCGGGTGATCTACAGTTATTTTTCCATTACCCATTTTAGGAAAGTATTTTTAATGAATGTGTCATTATACTACTATTTTTCATGAACACTACTCTTTTTATTCATTTCATCAAATGACAAACATGAAAAGGTTTTACATTTTTTAATTTTTTTAATCTTCGTGTCAAATCAAAATGGAAAAAAAATTCTTGGACAGAAGGAGTGTTTAAAAACATCAATTAAGCTACAGAAAAGAAGTGACAATATTATACTCCCTCCGTCCCACTGTCTTTGTCCACTTACCATTTGACACACCATCTAATGCACTTCTTTAATCCATTTTATCTTATAATTTGTATATTAAAAAATTATAGAAATTATATATTAATAATCTACGGAGTATATGTTAAGACAAATCAAACAAGATTACACATGACTATATTTAGGTTTACACATTGAGAGAATTTGATGAGTCAAAGTGTTTAGATAAACAGTTTCAAAAGTCAAAAGTGAACAAAGACAGTGGGACGGAGGTAGTACGATTTAATCAAATGGTAACATAAATATGTAATAAAAAATATGATCAAAATATGACCCTATAAATAATAAATAGACAACTTAAATCGTGCCATGGATATTACTAACTAGATTAAATAATATTTTGGAAATAGTTTACAAGATGAATCTAATAAAATTAGTATATTAATATCTAATTTTAAATACAAAATATTAAAGGTAGACAAATATTCTAAAACAAAAGTAATATTTTGATAACGACCTTCATTGAAAAAATGGAGGAACAAAGTACAATTTTTTCATATTCCTTTGATGAGTCACATATCACCTACTAAATTCAGTAAATTGAAGGGTGCGGGAGGGGATGACTTGCCGTGATGCCTTCCGTGGCAGTCCCTTGGTGTGATCGTGATGTGCGTGGTAGCCATCAGTGCCATCAGTCCATCACACGGTTCACACCCACCAAGTTGAATTTCTTATTTCTTCCTTTTTTCTTTCTTTACCTTGTTTTCTTCTTCCTTTTTTTGTTGTGTGGCTTCTTTTTTCTTTTATTTCGCATTATACCAATGTAATTATGAATTTTAATGTTAAAGAAATATTTATATATGTTTTTATTTAAAACAATGTTAACTTTAATAAATGAAAATAAATGAAAAAAATTATGCATGATCCACACTCCAATCTAGTGATGGGCTATAAGAGAAAGGAGAAAAATTAATGTTATTCTGAGTGGCACTGTGAGCTCCTGAGATTATACTAACTCCTTTATTTGAATAGATGAATCACATCCTCGAAGACCCTCTCAGATCTTGTCGTTATGGGAAAAATTAACTCCTTTATCTTGAACCACATTTGTCAAGAATTGAATTTAAATTTCTGTCTTGGCACTTATTGCGAGTGCAACACGTTCGACTCCTTTACTCCGTATTTTATTTGAAGTTATCGGATTGGAAATAAAATTTGAATGCAGAAGGACTACATAGGTTAAGTAATTAAAATGGTGAACGCAATTAAAGGTTGATAGGGCACTCATTCGTAGTTGACCCGAATTATATTGGTATTATATACTCCGTAATACGGTAGGAAGTAGGGGTGAGTATGAAATCCGTTCCCGTTGGACCGTTACGAAAAATCTCAAATCCATTTTGTAATTGTACCGAATAATTGGGACACCAATTTTAATCTCGAACCCGTTCCGTCCCATTATCAAATGGGACATGAGCGGGACAACTTAAATTTATACCGATCCGTCCCGTTTAATTTGTTCCGTTTTATCTACTCTATTAATATATAATTCTAATTCTATACACTCATTCTTTAATTAATTAAGTTAACTTCAAGTTTCAACCCAAAACTTATTAAGTTTATTTGGTCTTAACCCCAAGGTCCAAACTCCGGAGCCTAATTCCGTCCCATTATTAGCTAATTCACTTTTAAAGTTTTAATACACATTTCTATGAAAATCCAGGGGACAGTGGCTAATTGCTTGGTGTACATAACTAGTTTTTGGATGTCTTTGGGAGTTAATGATTTTTATTTATTAGAGCACGGGCAATGGCAAGTAACGAAATGGAATGCCACACGTTGACGTGACACATTTCAACCAATAAAAGACAATCCAGTCAGCGTGTGGCAAGTGAGTGGAGAGACATCTCATACAGTGGCAAATCATTGTTTTTGTCAATTTTTATGATTTTTTAAAAGCATTTTAATTATTAAAAATTATTTCATTTATCTTTTTTATATAGATGTACTCTTTTTTTAAAAAAATTTATTTTTCTAAAAAATAAAAAAAATAAAAAAATAAAAAAAAAAATTGAGGCTGAGCCACGCGAGGCAAAAGTGGCGAGGGAGCTGATGTGGCGCAGCGAGCGAGGAAATGCCTCGCCGCTGCGCATGCTCTGACATTTTGTGACTTTTGGATTGAGTACCCACCTTCTTATGTTCGGGATTAGAACAAAGTAGGACGACCCGAATCCGTCCCGGTTTGTTCTGATCCCGAATTTTATGGGACAAACCGGGATAAGATTGTAATTCGAACCGTTCCGAATCGCTTATATATAACGAGACAAGACGTGAAACAACTTAAATCCAAACCGTCCCGATCCGTGTCCACCCCTGGTAGGAAGTGGTGTAATAATGGCATTTGGCATTTGGTCTCATTCAGCACAATCAATCATCAACTGCAAAACTTGGAGCACAACAAACAAGTACACATTTTTCCATTGTTCAATCATTTCATTTCTCTGAATTTTCGTCTCTACACATACGTCATCAACGCAGCTTTAATTAATTTACAGAGCCCAGAGGTGACCCCTCACTACTACTCCTGCAAACCCCTATTGGACGGGCAGAGTCTATTTCCCCTGCCATTCAAACTTCAAACCCAAATTCATTTCTCCTTTTTTTTGAATAAAAAATTGATTAATTACGTACTCTCCTTAATACAGTAACTAATTAACAACAAATCGACCCTAATTGCAAGAGATTATCGATCAAATGCTGCGTCTCTGCAAATCAGTTGATTTCTGGCGACGGCATTCAGTTGCGGATCGTGAGAATATTGAACCGCCGTTTCCTGGAGAAAGCATTCAATTTATTCGTTTCATTTACGATCAAATTAAACTTATTCATTTCGAGTTACGAGATTGAAGGATCATCATATATTTATATACGAGTAAATGAGTAAAAGTACCTGTGGTAATGGAGTTATACGATGCCTTGCAATGAAGAATTGCGCTTTGGATTCCGTTATTCTGCTCCAGCAATGAATCGTCTCGTCTCCTCGCCGGCGCCGGCGCCTCCGCCGCCGATCGACTCTTCACCAGGTGTCTCCGCACTGCAGTGAACCCGGCCGGCCTGCTCCCCGATAGCCGTCTCGCGGATGCCGTGGCCTCCCTCGCCGGAGACAGCGCGGGCGGGGCCGAGATCTTATCGGGGATGAGATTGCTCGTTTCACTGTGCTTGGAGGATTTGCCGTACAGAGGCTTGATCAGTTTCAGATACGAGTATTTCCGTTCCGCATTTCTCGCGAACCGTTTCGCCGGTTCATCAACAGATAGATCGCCCGATTTCTCCATCTCCAGCCTTCTTCTCAGGCTGCTCTCTCTGCAAGGCGGCGAGGAGACGACGCTTCCGGAATCAGCGACTCTGCAGCTCACGGAGAACCGCTTGCTCTGCTCACTCCGAGGGGATGAAACGTCACTTTCCGATTTCGTCTTCTTAAACCCTAGGAAGAACACGCGAAATTTGGGGGCGGATCTCAGCCGCGAAATCGGGGACGGAACCGCCTTCACATTCGAACCAACCGGAGAGGAATTCCGCTTCGGGAACACATCTCTCGGCGACGCCGGGAAATCGAAGCCTGTCTCGCCTTTACTCGTCGCTTTCACGGCCTGAGACTTCCCCTTCTCCTCCCTGCAGAGGTAATCAGCTCCGTCCCACACCAGGTCGAAGAAGGACTCGTTGTCGGACTCGTCGTCGTCCGATTCGGAGGCCGGATTGTTCCCGTCGTCGGTGTATTTGGTTGAATTGTCGGTGTCGTCGGATACTACATCGGCACCGGCGTTGTGGTAATGGCCACTACCGCGCCAGAACTTAAGCAAGTTGAAAGCTTCCATTGGTAGAAAGGAAGGTGTATACAGCATAGAGTGGATGAGGAAGAAAACAATGGGGGAGGAAGAGGGGGGGGGTATTGGACCGGAGCTCTGACCGTTGTGACGGAGATCTTCGTCCTTTTAAATAGGACAAACATAAAGGGCGCCTTTCCCAAAACTTCAACTCGTACTCAATCTTTAGCCCCGGTCACGGGCCCACAATCGGGTTATAATGTTTTTGGAGGATGGCCCAAGCTTTTTTTGGGCTTGAACACTATGGTCAAATGCTCGGCTCGACCCGACCTATTGATAATAAATACTTCTTCCATTTTTTTAAAAAACTTTTTGCATTTAATTTATACTTCCTCTTGTCCAAAAAAATCTTTTTTATTTTGATTGTTTAACTTTAATAGCGACACTATTTAATTATAAATTAAATATAATTTAATAAATAAATATTACAGAGTATAAAAATTTGATATATTAAAATTATATCCTGAGATGAATCCAATTACTCCGTATGTTGAATTTATAATATAATTCAATATAGTTTATACACATTTTATGATTAAAGAGTGTCATTGTTTAACTTAAAAAGTCAAAATATGAAAGATTTTTTTAGACGCGTGAATACTTGAAAGATAAAAAATGTGGTTATAATTTCAAAAAGTAAAGATAAACATCAATGCAAATATCCGGAGTAGCGATTTTGTCACTTTTCATTTTAAGAACACCTAAGATTAAAAGCTAGGTTTCCTAGTCTCTTGCACTGAATTTAATTATCTAGTTTGACTCTTTTAATTATTACGGAGTAATTATCTTTAAATGTTTAATATATATTAATACAATAAATTAAAATTGAAAGTCCTCTACAATATAAATTAAATGAAATTATTTTTATATTAATATACATTATTGAAAAGAAAATTTCCTAAAACTTTGAAAATTCTCTATAATTTTTATTTAATTAAGTTTAAATTCATCCAATTTAACTCAAAAGTTGAAAAGATAGGTAATAGTAATAGTTTGTATATGAGAGGACTAAAAAACTAAAGCCTTGAAAATCTAACACAAAAGAAAAAGAGAGCATATGCCCATCGAGTGTGGTTTGTAAAAGGGATTGAGAGAGGTAGGGGCGAAAAGAAACTTCCAAAAACAAAAGGAAAAAAAAAAGTAAAAGAAGAGCAAAAAAAAAAAAAGAAGACACTTTGAAGACAGGGAAAACCTAAGGTGATATATACTCCGTATGTGTTTATTTTTGTTACTCTTTTTTTGGGTATCCCACTTTAGTTAACATGCACCACTAATTGTGTAAGAATCTTACAATTATTAATTAACATATATATACTTGTAATAATCTCTTGAGTTGGCATGTTTAGAGTCTTATACTATAAATTAATTTTTGTTTTATTGGACATCCAATTATATGCATACTTTATAGACCTATATAGCAAAAGTTCGAATATCGATGTGGTCTAATTTTTCTTTAACAAAATAATATTAACGTGAAAAAATAAATATCGTCTACACATAATCGCTGGCTGTCATATCAGAACACCAATCTTCATAGTTTTTACATTTGTAATGGTCATCCTAATCTGTTGTGTGATTCCTTTTACCTCATTATATTCTACTCTCTCCCTCCCTGAGTGTTTGTCCACTTTCATTTTTGCACACCATCCAATGCACTTTTTTAATCCATTTTATCTTGTAATTTGTATATTAAAAAATTATAAAAATTATATATTAATAATCTACTACCTCCGTCCCGTGAAACATTTCCCCTTTCTTTTTTTATCCGTCCCACAAAACACTTCTCATTTCTATTAAAAAGTCACTTTTACCCCTTACTTTTTCATACCCTAACTATCACATCATACCTTTTTACTAATAATCTATCCATCAAATCATACTTTTACACATCACATCAAAGGACATTTTTGGAAATTCAATACCAAAATACACTCCCTTAAATCCCCCCTAAAAAGTAAATGTCCCATGTTTCACGGGACGGAGGTAGTATATGTTAAGACGAATCAAACAAGATCACACATGACTATTTTTAGGCTTACATATTGAGAGAATTTGATAAGTCAAAGTGCTTAGATAAACAGTTCCAAAAGTCAAAAGTGGACAAACACTCAGGGACAGACCAAGTAACAAATAACTATAGTAACTACGGAGTATTTACTTAACTTTATTACTAACGAGTTTGAGTAATTGGGCTTTAAAAGAGCCTCATTGAGTTGTACTTTTATTTTTATTTCTTGGCTAAATTCCGTTATTGATCATTCAAGTTATTGCGTCATACATTATTAGTCATGCAACTTTGAAAATTTTATGAATAATCTTTCAAGTCATGTTAGCGTTGCGTGATTGGTCCTTCAATTTTGAAAACTCAATGAATAGTTCTTCAAGTCACAGTAGCGTTGCATGGTTGGTTCTTCCGTTAATCTTGGTGTTAATCCATAGATTTTTTATTTTCCATTTTAATTAATAAATCTGATGAGGAACTCTTTTATCTTCATCTAATTGAACCAAATAGTTTAGGTCCATGTTTAAATATAATAGTTACTCTTACTTTAATTACTCCAATTTTAATTTTTAAATAAAATAAATTAATTTTTCTTTTATTAGTTTAATTCTATTAAAAAAAAATATTCACTCCGCCTTAAAGTATCTATAAAATTTTGACTTGTTACAATCAACCAAATACATTTTTTACTATAATTCAATTAAAACGGATATACAAAAAGTATGTTTGAATTGTATGAAAAAGAGAAGGTTCTTCCCGTACATTTATAATCAAAGACAAAAAAATGCATGAAGTAACAACAAAATAATTAACGGAAGGAATAACCTAGCAACACTAATTAATGTGACTTGAAGGACTTTTCATAAAATTTTTAAAGCTGAAAAACTAATCATGCAACACTAACATGATTTGAAAGATTATTCGTGAAATTTTTTCAAAATTGAAAGATCAATTGTGGAGTTTAACCTTATTTATTGGATATCTTTTTGGCTTAAAAAAAGTCAGTGGAGACTTGGTGGAGCTGCTGCTACTTTCCTTTTTCTTTCTCACTTTGGGCAAAAATTTAATATATAAAGCCACACACAACGTGAAGAGCAAAGGGCAAAAAAAGAAGAAAAGAAATAAAGCCAGCTATTTCCTTACTTTGTAAAAGAAGAAGACGAGTTTGCATTAACAGATGCTACTTTGAAATAAACCTTTTATTTTTACTCTCTTTATAATGTCTTTCTTTATCTTTTCGCAAATTCTTATGCAAGCTTAGGTCAATGTAATGAAACAAAGGGAATGATAAAGTGATTCGGAAATATTATTATGTAATTATAAAGTTAGTTTTCCCAATAGAATCTTATTCTTGTCAAGATATGCTCCCCTATATAAATATATACAAGAAGGTGATATAAAAACTCATTATGACATGCTTCCTTATTATCTATTTGTCTGTTCTCACAATGTAACAAATTAGCTGTCTAATGTTATTGTAGTTTACCTTGTTGCATTGGTCAATTCCACAATTTTTGCAATCTAATATTGTATATACCACTCGATCTCTTTCAAAAAATTTCAGTATACAATTTAAGATGTGTAGCTAATGAAGTTATTTTTTCGAAAATAAATTTGGTGTGTAATTAATATGATAAGATTGTTGCAGACTCGTCCAATGTTCAAATTATTACAAATAATTTCAATTAATAGAGATATACTAATATTGTTATATTGTGGTACTTGTGAAGTTAGCCAACTTCTCTTGGCTGTTGCGTTAGCTAGGGTGATTCGAGAAAGCTTGAAAAGATTTTCAAGAGGCCTCAATTAAGCTTGAAGCTATCCAACCTCGAGCTGTGAAAAACTCTGAGTCGTATGTAAAATAAAAAAAAGTCGTTCTTTTACGCTTTCAATAACTAAAAGTCAATCAGACATATTTGGTGTGGGAGGAAGGGATTGGATAGCTATAAGAGAAGGGAAGTAAATCGAAAGGAGAGGAATAACTGTGTGTTAGGTTTAAGATTGTGACATCCAACTACAACTATTAGCATTTTTAAGTTAATCTGTAAAAAAATGTGGCGTAAGTCATTTGGGATTAAACAAAAAAGTTCATTTGGGATTAATCATAACAGTAAAAAATTTCGTGTAGATAAAATGAAATAAATGATATATAAGCCATTTGGGATTAATCATAATAGGTGAGAGGTATTTTTGTAAGTAATTTGGTCAAAACGGAGAAACAAAAAAACCAACTTAAAAATTAGTAAGTTAGAACTATTTATTTTTTTGGCTTAAAAGCAATTTATAAGTCTACTTATAATACATCATCTGCTAAATTATAAATTAAAAATAATTTATAAGTAGTTTTGACCCATTTATAAATACAAAAAAACACTCACATAATACGGAGTAATTAATAAGATAAAGTCCAAATGTTCGTCAATACTGGTTATGGCCCAAATTACGAAAAACTCGCCAAGAAAAACGAAAAAACCCATTCCCATTGACTTGATTTGGTTTTTTCTTGTTGCTACTAGTTTTTGAAGATATTCCATATTGGCATATTGTACTTCAGCTAGCCCAAAGAATGCCAAGCCCGATATTTAAAATGGGCCTGCGCTTTAATTGAACTTGAGCTAACAAAAAAAAAACTAACTGGTCCAAACTAAAAAAAATGAGGGTAAATTTCACCAATGGTACCTGAACTTTAGTTGAAATTTTGAAGTGGTACCTAAATTTCAAATCCTTTCAAAAAATTCCATGAACTTATACAATCCTTTCACTAATAGTCCATTTACCTGTTTCTAGATTCACTTCCGATTATTTGGGCCAAATTAGAATTTTATATATTTTAAAATTTTTAATTTGACCCCATTTCTTCTTTTCTTTTCTTCCGCGCCCCGCAGCCGGTCAAAGTCGCCGGAAAATGAACTTGGTCCCATTCCGGCGGGACCAACGTCATTCTCTTCGTCTTGAGACGAGGATCAAAAATATCCAAACCATTTTGTCCAATTTAGCCTGTAACTCCTTGAATAGTGATAGTAAAAAAAACTAAATTCATTTATACTAACTCCATTCATTATCTTCAAAAATATTTCTTCATTGTTTTCTAAATTACTTTTTTTAACAAACACTTCATTAATTTAACAAATGATACAAAATGTCAGAGGGTGAATCAACCCACTCTCCTAAACACTAGGAATGAATGAGAAACTCGTGCTAGTACATGAGCGGCTTCATTAGCAACACGATAAACACCACAAGGTTTTAAGAACTTATATATAATGTTAGTCCCTCTATCATATTTTTTTTTCCCGTTTTAGTTTATGAGATTTGACTAAATTTATTTTTTAATTTATCTTATTTAATTATGCGTGTAAAAGTTTTACAAACCAAGAGGTGAGATAACTATATTATTTTATCAAACGAATAATGAAAATAGGTATAAAACATGATTTAAATTTGACCGTGTGATTAACAATCAAGAAGAATACATTAGGATGAAGGAAGTATTTATTAATTTAATAAAGTTTATTTAAATATTTTAAATATTTATATAATTATCAATCATGCAATGCATTTAGTTGACATGTATATTTAGTTTCTTAGCGAATGAGGCTATGACCATCATCTCCTCAAACACGTTTGCGTCTCACGCGGCTCAATGAAAAGTAAGGTTCGTGAAACAATTACTTCAACATTTAATCTTGACGGTTTAAAAATGGTAGCTTATAACAACACTTAAATTTTACTTTTTCAAAGTTAATCTATATTATTAAAAAATGTTCAAAACATGAATGCTGATTGAAAATAATGTTTACAAACAAGGCCATGGTCTAGTGAAATAATATTGCTTAATTTAAGATTTGAGGATGAATCTAATGGTGGATTTAGTTTTTTGATTTGATTTTTATCTAAAAGTTAAAATACATTATTTTTAAAGTTCTTTTAATAACATTTATGTTTTGTGACAACATGTTTGCATAATATCAATTATCAAGGAAGTCACCCAAACTTTTTTTAGACTTAGGGTCCGTTCCGTAGGACTTATTTTTTCTACTTATTACTTATTCTTATTAAAATTAGCTTAAAGAGACCGTTTAAAAAAATAACTTTTATATTTCTATACATAATTTATGAAAATATATTGCATAAATTTCACTTAAAACGAATGAGTTTATATGGATTACACAATTATTATTAAAAACAAGTTATATTCGCCCATTTAAAATAGATTTCTTACATTCTTATCTTAAGATATATACTGCATTCAAATATAAACTCTAGTATAGTATTTTCGTCCCAAAGTATTTGTCAACTTTCATTTTTACACACCATCTAATGCACTTCTTTAATCCATTTTACCTTGTAATTTGTATATTAAAAAATTATAAAAATTATATATTAATAATCTATATGTTAAGAAAAATCAAACAAGATCAAACATGACTATATTTAGACTTATACATTGAGAGAATTTGATAAGTCAAATACTTAGATAATCAATTCCAAAAGTCAAAAATGGACAAAAATTGAAAGACGAAGGGAGTATTAAATACTTCGGGGAGTATTCAAAAAGTAAAAGGGGACTTTGAAAAGAAGTGAAAAAAAAATGTTTAACCCCTTTTAGGTTCGGTTACTCCGAGCCTAAGGTTAGGTTGGAGGGCAAGTCATCAGCCCAAAGAGAGGAGGCATCCACACAAGAAGTCCAAAAACACTCTTGTGAAAGACCGACCTACCCTTGCCGGCGACTTTGTCTGAGAAACCAGAGACTTACTCCGATGGCCGATCACGACGGAGATCGCGAAGCTGCTACGGAATCGCTTTTGGACAAGATCAGTGGAAAGTTGCACGGTTGCGATTCGTCTTCGGATTCAGACGACGAGAAGGACAAGAAGTCTCATGCTGGCGCCGTCAAGGCCAAGATCTATCGTCTTTTCGGGCGTGTGAGGCCAGTGCACAGTGTCATCGGCGGCGGAAAACGTAAGTTGATCGGTGAACTGTCATTTCATCCAAATATGCGTGCCTAGGTTAATCGAATTAGCCATTGATGATATGTACAGTTTTGACTCTGATATGAATGTTTCATCTCTCGCTGTTATGGTTAATTCATGAAGTTATGGCTGCATCGCAAGTAAATTGATATCCATAGTTTACTCATTCATGTGGCTGATTGGAAACTGTTAATATAGATTTTCTTCATTAACTGTGTCATTTTCCTCCATTTGATATGAAAATTAGGTTTGTCGAATGTATTGTATATATATGATGTCTTTAAAAGTCTTCTATGTGTATTAAATAATTATTCATTGTGCATGTCTGATTAGCATTTTTTTAATGATCAAATAGACATTTGTTGGTAAAGATAGATATAGGTTATTAAATCAGCCTCGATCTGCTCTTCATGTAAGTATTGATTATTGCATTTTGAGACTTGTTGGAGAAAAAAAATCAATAATTTTCAAAAATTCAACTTCTTGCAAAACTTTCAATATTTCTCTTAGCCCGATCTTCTCAGAAAGAGCTTTCTCTCCTCCTAAGGTAGAGGTAAGGTATGACTGTACTTCTAGGTGGGACTTGATGCATATACATGTTTGGTTTTGTCTGGTCAAGAGCCCAGTGCTGCGTTTTAAAAGATTTGAAACAATGCACATATTTTATCCCCTGTATAGTTATTTTTCCTATGTTGGTTTTACTCTTTACTGTACTGCAGCTGCTGATATATTCCTCTGGAGGGACAAGAAAGTCACTGCTGGCGTGCTTGGTTTTGCAACTGCAATTTGGGTGTTTTTTGAATTGCTGGAGTACCACCTTCTAACACTAGTATGCCATGTACTGATTCTTGCTCTAGCAATCTCTTTCTTGTCGTCGAATGCGTCAATATTCTTAAAGAAGTAAGCTCCTTTCCTCTTCATATAGTCAGTAGTGCTTAAACTCCTCTGCCCATTGTTTGGTTGGTGGGTTTTGGAGGGGAGAGCTCATATTTATTTTATTGTTTCAGTCTTACATTAGTTAGTTGGAAGGATGGCAAAAATGATAAATAATAATGGAGTATACGTGTTTTAACCAATGAGATGGGTTTTCTGATGCAACACTGATAAATAAGGACAAATGAGTAACATTAGGTTCCGTTTTATAGGCTTATTTGGTTGAAATGGCTGTATCTTCCGAATTTAATGAATAGAAATTGTTTCATAACATCCATTGTAAATTTTTCAACCAATTGATCAAAAAGTAAGTCAAAAGCTACATGTTCTTTTGATAAGCAGAATAAGCGCTACCAAACAAAGCCTTAACATCACATCACTCCCTCCCCCCCCCCAAAAAAAATATCCTTAAAGATTAACCTTGTGTTGTTGGACCAGGTCTCCACTTCATATTCCAGAGGTCAAAATTCCTGAGAAGATTGTTCTTGATGTGGCATCTGCACTGAGGATTGAAATTAATGGAGCTTTGGCCAGCCTTCGAGACATTGCATCTGGGAAAGATTTGAAGAAGTTCCTTGGTGTATGATTTTCATCTTCTTCCATATTTAAATTTGTAGTATAGCTTGACACCTTGACATTGCTAAAATTTGGGATTCTTATTAGGCAATGCTTGAATATGGAAAACGTTAGTGAAATGAAAATATATGCCCAGGAAAATTTCCATTTTATGTAAGGTTTTACCTTAGGAATTACAAATGAAAACCACTCTCTGATCAAAACTTTTTAAAACTGCACATATATTTAGATTTCTAACTCTTCATACACTCTGTAGTCGAAATCTTTAAGTAAAATGAGTTTGAACTAAAATCTACAATTCATCTTATTTAGTTTGGACCAATTTTGTCCTTTTAACTCACACTTTCTTTCCCTCTGAATTTCCTACCTTTTTCTTTCCCTAGCATTTTCCAATTTCCAAATGGACCCTTAATTGCTAATCATGATTCTTTTGGGCATTTTATTTATGGGCAGGTCATTGGTGGCTTGTTTGGTCTCTCAATCTTGGGAAGCTGCTGCAACTTCCTTACCCTGTTTTACATATGTACGAATTTGCCTCGACTTCCTTGCATCTCTCTACATACATACCTGTCCATGTAAAATATTCCTAAAAACCATTTTGTGTTTACATTGCTTCCCCCCCCAAACAGGCTTTGTGGTGCTTCACACAGTCCCAGTGCTGTATGAGAAATATGAGGATGAGATCGACACTTTCGCTGAGAAAGCCATGGGTGAGATTAAAAAGCAGTATGTCGTGATTGATGCCAAGGTTCGTAGCAAAATCCCAAAAGGGACTGGGAAACAGAAAAAAACGGAGTAGTTTACATAGACGCGGCTCTCATCTCGTCAAGTACTAAGTTTTCTTTTTTCAAATGTTTTTTTTGAGACCATTTACTGGACTTGTTTTTACTTGTAATGATGTGTAACAGTTTTAAAACTCCATGGCATGTATTAACTTTATTAGCAACTGTATTTCTTTTTACAAACATGAGCGTTACTAATCATCTTATTCTGCTAGATTCTTAAGAGCATTTACAATGGGGGGCTTTTCTGCCCGTCCCAACTCCTATAATTAAGTATTGTTGCGTCTCCAAATTTCTTTGATCAAATTATCTTGGAGAGTAGCATGGCTTTGTTCATCTCGCAACTTGCATGCTGATTTGTAAAATCTTGAAATTCGCGAGGTGGTCCTTGAGTTATGCAGTACTCCGTATAATAGTACATGCAAACATGATGTCTGAGATGAACGTCGCAGTTTGTTGAAAGATTTCATGTTGCATCTCTAATTGGACGTAAGGCAAATACTCTTGGTATGCCGCAATTAGCATATCCACGACCTCATCATATGTTGGAGAATTAATTAAATTGAGCTCAATTATAACTCTGGCGTTATTATTTTTGGTACACCACCAACTTAAAAAAAGTTAAAAAGTGGGATTATTATACACAATACAATAGAAGGCTAGATTAATTAGTGACTTAGTGCAGCTCCACGAAAGGTGAGATTATTTTGAGCAAAACCTAAAACAAAAGAATTTCCAATTCATTATTCCATTAACTTTTTCCATCAAAAATATAATGTAATGGTGACCCAAAATGCACAATTTGAAAAGTTGGGATTCTTTCACATAACATTGAAAAATATAATTATTTTATGAATACAGGCGAAAGGCGGGATTACTTCAAATAATTTATCCAATTTATAAGGAATAGATAACTTGTCCTTCATTTCTTCCCTTTTGTTTTTTAGATTTAAAAGAATAAAAATGTGATATATTTAGCAAGGTGGATATAATCAAATGTAGAAAAAATTTAGCAATAACCTAAACTATGGGCCTGTTTGGGAATAGCGTTAGAGATTAGCGTTAGCATTTTGGATAAAATTTTAACGGTGCAGATTACTTTGAAAACGCTAACGCTAAACGCTGCCCGTAGATAGCCTTTTCAAAACGCTAACGCTAATCGCCAAAGCTATTCCCAAACAGGCCCTATATTAAGTTCAAGACTCATTGGAAAAAAAACTAAGTTCAACACTAAATGGATGTATATATAGAAAGCCCACAATCACCCCATAAAATAATGGACGCCATATTGGCATTAATGGTGTTGGTTGGTCATCCCACAAACCAAAAACATGGCCATATTAAAACCCCTCCCAAAGTGGTTTTTGTTAGGTATTATTAGGTTAATTAATCTGGTTCAAATCTTAATCCCTCTCTTCCTGACCTCAATTCCTTTCACCATCTACTCGGATTCCCACCACCTCTCAACAACAAATGCTTTTAAAAATGAACAACTTCTATCCCTCTTTAGGAATCTTTGTTTTTTTTAATAAAAAAAGAAGTCTTCGCACCTATTTTATTTTTTAAAAAAAAGAACATATATATATATAAGTATAGACACATTCTAACTACTATATACGGAGTACATATTTTTCATTTTTTAATATTATAGTTAAATGTTGTGAAAGTCAAAATATTTCGTATAAAATTGAATCACTCAATTTCATAATTCAATAAAATGCTTTATACTCTCTCCGTCCCACTCTCTTTGTCTACTTACCTTTTGGCACACTATCCAATGCACTTCTTTAATCCATTTTATCTTGTAATTTGTATATTAAAAAATTATAGAAATTATATATTAATAATCTATATGTTAAGACAAATCAAACAAGATCACACATGACTATATTTAGGCTTACACATTGAGAGAATTTGATGAGTCAAAGTGCTTAGATGAACAGTTCCAAAAGTCAAATGTGGACAAAGAGAGTGGGACGGAGGTAGTAATATTTATATTTCTCAAATCACTTCAGTATTTACTTCTACATGCCTAATTAACAAATGATTGTGTAAGTGTGAAAAAGAAAAGAATTTGTATGTCTAGATTCATATTGAGATTTTAGCTCTAACAAAAAAAATACTAGGGTAAAATTTAGTGGTCATTAAAATCAAACAAAGACTACTATAGAGACAAGTCATTATTCACTAAAAAAATTAGTCTTCTTTTTCTTTCAGTCTCCGCGCCACGCTATAACTTTACCACAAGAAAAGAAATTCCGTGTTGAAAAATACGACAGTTCAAGAAAAAATGAAAACATTCTCTTAACAATTCACCTTTAATGAACAATATATAGTCTTGGTTGACTTACTATTCACCATGTGGCCTCCCTCTTCATTTCAAAATTGACATGTTAGATGTTTTTCCTTTGTCTAATTAGACCAATGTGATTACAAGTGTCCTAGATTTGATTTGTAAGTGACCTTAGATTGAATCGAGTTAAAAGTATAAGAATGAAAATCTTGACATTTTGAATCTAGAGATTTAACCCAAAATGAATCATAACATTTTAATATTGAAATTCTTACGGAGTATTTCCTCTTAAGACTAAGAACTTCTCATTCTCAAATTTAACAAATACATCGCAACACAGTGACAAGACGATTTGGCAATTACTCTCTCTGTCCCTAAAAGACCCTAAAAAAACTTACTGGATGCCATTATGCAATTAAGCATGTTTGACTAAAATTATTCTTAATGAAATTATTTGAATATTAATATAAAAACTTGAAAAGTTACTAGCCAAACAATAAGTTCGGAGAAATAAATTGAATTAGAATTTCATCGAGAGAGCTTGAGATCGGTCAGACGGTCACTATTCATAATGTACCCTTGCGACACTGCCGATTTTACGTGCAAACAACATGAAATATAAATGGGCCTTGTGCCAATTTTTTGTCAAAATAACTTTAGCTCCAAGCCTTACACACTATTCATGACGTACTCTCTTCCTCCATAAAAGAATTTTTCAATTTCACTTGACATGAATATTAAAAAAACTTAACAAATTTTTTTTGACTTTCTAAAAGTATCTCTCCCTATAAATGGGGGTAAAGTGGTCTTTTTGAGACATCTTTTTTGTTTTGTCAAAAAATAAATGAAATGAAAAAAGTTATTTGTGAGCAATCTAAAAAGAAAAAGTAAGAAGTTATTTTGTGGACACAAACGTATTGTAATACTCTTTCCGTTCTAAAAAAGAGTTCCTAGTTTGACTAAGTATAAAATTAAGGAAGTGTTAAATTGTAGTTGAATTCTAATTTTGTCTTTGATGTGATGCGTAAAAGTAAAATGTGATGGATAGATTATTAGAGAAAAAGTATGATGTGATAAATAGAATATGAAAAAGTAAAGGTAAAAGTGATTTTTTAATAGAAAATGGAAATATTTTATTGAAAGAGAAAAAAATAAAAGAGAAAATATTTTTGAGAACGCGAAGAGTGTTAAATTATGAGCATGTCTCTTAACAAGTGGTGGTGGTGGTACTTGGTAGTGGTACGTAACTTTCATGAATTAATTAATTACAGTAATTAAGGGTTAATTTATATAGGCCCCACCCGCCGGGTGACATCGACTTTACAGTTGGATTAACAGTCATTACCATGCTGTACCCCACTAATACTGTAAGTTAAAATGTAAACACAATCTGGTCAATTTTATCTTTTTCTGAAAATTCTTAGACCATTTTATATTCTTTTGGATAGGCGGTTCATGCGACATTGAGCTCAATTTCACATAATAATTCACGAATTTTATAGTGCTACGTTCAAAAAAAGTGATGTTTCCAACCTCATGACTCCCTTACCGGGGGCGGGCGGCGAGATTTAGATAATAGAAACCAATTAGATCCGTTATTTTTTTTAAAATAGATACTACGTATATTTAAAAGAGGTTAAAAAAATAAAATTAGATATTGAATTAAACAAGAATACATTCTTTTTTCACAGAATAATTTTTGTACTAAATAAAAAAAATGGAATTGATTGCAATCGAAATCGCACATCCCATTTTTGGGTTTTAGTTCATGGTCTCCCATTCATTGGTGCAGTTATCGAGTCAAATTTGGATCCGTGTACATTTCTAATTTTAGAGCTAGTACTTTTTTTAAAAAATTTTAAGGAAGCTAGTACCCTTTTAATCATAGTCCTTTTCTCTCAAATAATCTTCTCGTTTTGGATTATTAAACTCAATTCATTCAAATACCGATATAAAACTAATTAAAAAAATAAATATAGTTATATTTTAAAAAAACACATCAAAAGTTATAAAAAATAGAGATCACATTACAATAAATTTTTATCATAAAGGATAAATGGAAAAATGTATATGAGAAGGTAGTGTAAAAAATATAGTACAATATGATATTGTGACCTATGAATGATAAATGATACTCTCTCCGTCCCCAATTTGATTACAAATTGCAAGTTACGGAGTAAAATTTCTTACTTTTTGAAATCATTTTATTTACAAATTGGTATATCAATAAGATGTAAAAATTACATATTAAAAAACTACGTCAAAAGTTCTACAAAATAAAAGGTGACAAGAATATTTTATTTTATCAAATATTACTTAATGAAATCACATAAACAAACAAAAGTTATCGAGAGGAGAGAAAAAAAATTGTAATCTATTTAGGGACGAAGGGAGTAAGATATTATGAAAAAGATGGAGGAAGTACTTGTTAATTCTTCCGTCTGTACTCTTTAAACAAACTTTACATTTTGACACCTATGGTGTGACTAATACCATGACATCAATTAAATTAAGATTCCATACAGTATTTTGTTCGTAAAATTTATTTTGTTGACATGGTATTGTTCCCTCATGAAGTCATGACCCTCTAGCTCATATTATTGCATTCCATAAATTTTGTTTTGGGTCAAAATTTGTCAACAAAACTTATGAGGTGCAATTGTGGGTCTAGAGGGGTGTGAGTGGGTTAGGTTATATTGAGGTTAATGAGGAACTTTTGAAGGCTAAGAACTGTCAACATTACAAACAGAAAATCATAAGTATCTCAATCCAACCGGCATGGTATCATGATGATACACTACTTGAAGTAGAATAAATAAAATTTAAATATAAAATGACAGAAATATAAAAAAAAACGAGGCTATAAAAAATATGTTATGGCCTCAAGTTAAGTTTTTGTAAAGAAATAACACCCACGAAATGAGTGAGGATGTACCAAAAAGTCATAATTGCACGGTAACAAATTGGCAACAAATTAATGTTGCAAATTCCTTTTGGGTAACCACTCAGAATCCACCATGCATGACAGTACTGTATGGGTTGGATGGCTGCTGCTGCTGCTCAGTTGTAAACACACATTGTTTAGTCAAATACGGACTACTTCCTATGTTCTTGTTGGGTCGGTCATCCTTCTTAGCTCAAATGGTTTAGTGGTAGATAAATCCGAGTTCGACTTTTGACACCGCTGAATGATCATGCCGTGCATCAAATTCTTACACGTACGTATGAGAGGCGGGCTCAACTTCATATTAATAATATTGAGATTATAGTTTCATTATTTACTTCTCTTAGGTTACTATCCAAGTCTAATTCAACCTTATTCACACAAAAATGTTGATAAGCTAATGAACTTATCTTAATTTGTTTTTCTTAGAATAACTTTTTTTTCTTAATATAATCTTTTAAACACTAATATATGAACCAACGAGACGTACATTGGAATAGATTCAATAGTGCTAAATAAATACTCCGTAACGCTAGACATTGATATAACATAATATTATCTCGTTTTGACTTAATCGTATTACTCCCTCCGTCCTAAAATGATCTTTCCAGTCGCTATTCACATGGTCAAATTTTAATCAATTTCTTGACTTTTTTTCTTTAGTTATTTAATAAAATAATATAGTCATGTCACCTCTTGTCTTGTAGATCTTTTATTTGGTGTAGTTTTAAAATATAAAATTTTTATTTTTTAATTTTTACATCTATAATCAAATAAATTGAATTGAAAATAATTTCAGTCAAACCTCATAAACTGAATTGGGAAGATCATTTTACGACGGAGGTAGTATTATTTAGTTACTACTCCCTCCGTCCCACTATTTTTTGTGAAATGAGATAGCTAGCTTTGCAAAAATTTAAAAAAAATAAATATATATTTGTATGGTTGATTTTGATATTAAAAATTAGATAAAATAAGTAATTCTGAACCACATAAATACTACTACTAAACATGGAGTATAGAATAAGACAAAAAATTGTGGAACAAAAATAGTACTCCCTCCGGTTTTAAAAACCTTCATGTTTTGATTTTTTTGGTCAAACAGTGACACACTTTGACAACAAATTAAATATAATCTTAATAAATGAATGATATAAAAATTTGATATATCAAAACTATATTCTAAGATGAATCCAAACTATATTATTCAATTAATATTATAATTAAGTATATTTTTTCACACAATCTATGATTCAAGTGTGACACTGTTTGACTAGAAAAAATTAAAATAAATTTTTTTTATGTCCGGGGGGAGTAAATAAAACAAAAGAAGTAGGAGTAATATAGGATGGAATCGTACCAGACTATATATATGAATATATAGAGAATAATGCTATACACAAATATATACCTTATACGGAGTAGACTATGAAGAATGGATGGTGCCCATTCACATAAACCACCGCACGTAATTATGCTATACAATATACTCCATCCGATTTAAAATTAATTTTCAGATTGATTTTTAGAGTCAAACTTTTTAAACTTTAACTCTATATTATGCAAAAAATATATTAAATTTTCATATAAATTTATTATCAATAGATTCATTCCAAAGCATAATTTTGAAATATATTATTTTTATATATAAAAATGAAGATATTAATGAATAAAGTGTCGCATTGAGGATAATGAAAAATCAAATAGGAAGTTAATTTTAGAACGGATGGAGTAATAAAGAGAGATAAAAAAAAAAGGATCTTTGCCTAAAGAGAGGCTTAGCTTGAAGTATAACTTTATAAGATCCCCTACTCTTCGTACTTACGAGGGAGCAAAACTGTACTACTCGTTTACCACTCGCTATGTACGCATTTTATAAGCACTTATAAATGGGTCTCATCCCCTCACACTACTTAACAATTGAGAGAAAATAAATAAAATTTTAATTTTAAACTATATATAAATATATACAAGAAGAAAATACAATGATGACGACAACAATATATATCACCTTCAACGAAGGCTCCCTAATTTGCGCATGTTGTGCAAGACAGGCTGACCTGTCCCTTTCACAATAGTGTTTTTCTTTTGTTGTTTTTGGGTTCATTTTCGTTTTAAAATTTTTTTTAAAAAAAAGAAAAAAACTCCCAAAAACCCATTATATATAACCCATCGTTCCATTCCACGCTCTTCTGAAGGTCTTTAATGGGAGCATTAAGACAAATTCTTTAAATTACAGTAATTACTTTGATATATTCTTTCTTCATATGTGTGTATATGTATATGGTAAGCTACAGCAATAATGACTACTGCCCCGAAGATGGGCTTCCAGTGCTGATCAGTAATAATAGTTTGAAGATCAGAAATAATAATAATGGTTTTGATATGAATCATATGACGACGACGACGACCACCATCAACAACATGCTGCATCTTGATCATCATCATCATCATCATCAAGTAAGTTCTCTATGGATGCATATTACGTTCTTCAGTTCTGATGATGATGGTTAATCATCTACTTCTACAATATACATTCCACATACATATTTCTACAACTTAATTATATTCCCTAGCTCTCTCTAGAATTATGTATATATGAGGTTCATGTTCTTCCGTCTCATAAAACTCTTCCTGTTCTCAAAAAGGCTTACCCTCAAAATTACTCCCCCATCCCACAAAACTTTCTAGAAATGAACTTTGATATGATGGATAAAGTAGAATGAGATGGGTAGGTTAGTAGAGAAAAAGTGTGATGTGTTAGGTAGGTAGGGGCAAAAGCGAATTTTAAATAGAAATGAGAAAGATTTTTTGGGACGAGTGAAAAAAGAAAGGATAAAGGTTTTGTGGGACGAAGAGAGTAGTATTTTGTGTTTCTTTGTATTTTCTGAATCAGCTCTTACTTTGCTATAGAGTCAGATTAGATGTGTTGGACACATGAGTTTTAATTTGAAAATAACACCCAAATTAGACATTTTAAATGCACACTTTTTTTTTCCAAATATGAAGAATTTTATTGGATGGAGAGAGTATATAAAACCAATTGACACTGAGAATAATTATCTCATATTCTTAAATTTTATGGAGTAGTTTTTTTGGGTCCCAAGTGTAATTTCGTCGCATCAAATTGTCACTTGCTCAAATAGACTTGAGTTTCCTTTTTTGACTCTCTCTCTCCATTGTTTAAAACATCGAATAAAGTGTTGGGTAAACTTTATCACTTGCATATAAAATTGGAATCAACTATTCTAATCCAAAAACTTAATCTGATAGGTAGGGTTTCACCCTTTTTTATATGCTAGTAGTATTCGTCTTTATTTTCCGATATGGGAATTTCAAAAAAAAAGTACTTCTATCCCTGTTTTTCTTACTCTATCTATCACATCATATATTTTTTTACTAATAATCTACCTATCAAATTTTACTTTAAATAATCACATCAAGAATAAAATTATCTTTCCTTATTTTTGTCCAAAATCAACATAAGAAGTATTTATTAAAACGGTAAAAACAATATAATCCCTTGGTTTAATTTGTACTAAATGATATGAGCAGATGGTTAATGAAGGAGCTAAGAATGAAAACGAGGTCGCCATCGATGGAGATCATATTAACGGAGAAGAGGCCAAACATAAAATTGGGAATATGCCGCCGCCGCAGCAGCCCCCCATTTCTCCGGCGGCGGCGGCGGCAGAGGAGCACGATTACAAACATCGGCCCCGCACATCATCTTCATATTCCCAGCCCATCAACATCCCAGGAGGAGGAGGAGGAACATCAAAACCAAAAGACAAAAGGTTTGACACTTTCAAAACATGGTCCGGCCGACTGGAGAGGAAAATCAACAGCTTTGGCGGCCAAGATCAACGCCAAGAAGACGAAGAAGAAACACGTCCTCCTCATCATCAAGACGACATCGTTGGGGCTCAAATTAGTCCTGACGAAATACACGTCGACCGCTACTTCGATGCCCTCGAAGGCCCAGAACTCGACACCTTAAGGGTATGTATGTATGCATGATTGACATATATAATACTCCCTCCGTCCCTAAATAAACTTCCTCTTTCGTTTTTTCGTTGTCCTTAAATAAACTTCTCTTTTCCCTTAAAAAACCCCTTTTACCCCTTACTTTTTCATACCCTATCTATCACATCATACTTTTTTACTAATAATCTACCTATCACATCTTACTTTTACACATCACATCAAGGGTATTTTTGGAAAGTCAACACAAAAATATCACTCCCTTAAATCCTCAAAAAGTCAAAAAAAGAAGTTTATTTAGGGACGGAGGGAGTATAATACTCCCTCCGTTTCTTAAAACCCTTCATCTTTCATTTTTTTTGTTTTTCTTAAAACACTTCCTCTTTCTATTAAAAAACCACTTTTACCCCTACTTTTTCATACCCTACCTATCACATCATACTTTTTCAATAACAACTAAACTATCACATCTTACTTTTACCCATCACATCAAGGGCAAAATTGAAAAGTCAACTACAATTTAACACTTCCTTATTTTCTCCTAAAGTCTAAAGAGGAACTCTTTTGAAAAACGGGGAGAAGGTAGTAATAAAATGTCACTTTCCAATGACATAATATCGTAATGGTCACTTATTTTGCAGGACTGTGAGAAGAGTGTTCTCCCGCAAGATGAAAAATGGCCGTTTCTACTACGTTTCCCCATTTCCTCCTTCGGCATATGTCTCGGAGTGAGCAGCCAGGCGAACATGTGGAAGGCCCTTTCCACGGCGCCGTCCACCCAGTTCCTCCACGTCAGCCGGGACGTGAACCTCGTCCTGTGGCTCGTATCCGCCGCCCTGGTGGCCACCGTCGCCGTCTTGTACGCCCTCAAGGCGGCGTTCTACTTCGAAGCGGTCCGCCGCGAGTACTACCACCCGGTCCGGGTCAACTTCTTCTTCGCCCCGTGGATAGCTCTGCTCTTCTTGGTCCTGGGGGTCCCACCGCACTTCACCGAGGCGCCCCTCCACGAGTCGGTGTGGTACGCCCTCATGGCCCCCATCTTCTGCCTGGAGCTCAAGATCTACGGGCAGTGGATGTCCGGCGGGCAGCGGCGGCTCTCCAAGGTGGCCAACCCCTCGAACCACCTCTCCATCGTCGGGAACTTCGTCGGGGCGCTGGTCGGCGCGACGATGGGCCTGAGGGAGGGCCCACTTTTCTTCTTCGCCGTCGGGTTGGCCCACTACACCGTCCTCTTCGTGACGCTGTACCAGAGGCTTCCGACGAACGTGACCCTCCCGAAGGAGCTTCACCCGGTGTTCTTCTTGTTCGTGGCGGCGCCCAGCATCGCTTCCATGGCGTGGGCTAAGATTGAAGGCTCCTTTGGTTTTGGATCAAAGATTGCTTACTTTGTTGCCTTGTTCCTCTACATGTCACTGGTTAGTAATAGAATTATTTGCACTAGTAGCACAACTGTTTTATTCCCTAAATAGTACTTAATAATATCCATAATCTCTAGTGATGCCGAATATTTGCTTGAATAATGACTAATGCATAATGACTAAAAATGCTACATTAGAAAAAAACACATGTGATACTATTTAGAGAAAGTCATTATGTTTTAGTGCTATTTAAGTAAATTCCTCCTAGTAATAGTATATGCATGCATGCATCTCTACCTACAATTGATTAATAAACGAATTCATCAGTCAAAAGCTCAAGCTTGAATTGTGTGATACTACAGGCAGTTCGTATAAACTTTTTCCGGGGGTTTAAATTCTCGGTGGCGTGGTGGGCGTACACATTCCCGATGACGGGAGCGGCGGTGGCCACGATCAGATACTCCTCGGCGGTGACGACCAACGCATCGCGGTGGCTCGCGGTTGCGCTGTGTGGCATTTCCACGTTCACCGTGACGGCATTGCTCGTGACAACCGTCATTCACGCCTTCGTCCTGCGGGATCTTTTTCCGAACGACAGCGCCATCGCGATCAGCGATCAGAGAAAGCACCGCCACCGTAGGAGGGGCAGCGGCAGCTCGGCGGATCACAAAGACGCCGCCATTGATCAATACCTCAAGTTTGCGGACAATTCTGCTGGCGGCGTCAAAGATATTGAGGCTGCTATCCCTCAGTGAATCTGTCTCTAGTTGTGCATTAAGGGAGGAATGAACTTTGTGTGTTCCTGTGATCTTGATCTAATTATTATTTTTTATTTTTTATATTTTTTAAAAAAATGAATTAATTGTCTTATATTTAGCATGTATATGCAAATAAAAAGTACAGTTTTTACCATCATTCTTGATACTCCGTATTAAGTAAGCCAAATAGTTATTGTGAAACTTGATACTCATTAATGAACAAACATTATTACATTACAGCTATATATACCTTACTTAAACACCAGACAGTTTTCTGGGTTTCATACATTTGGAGTTCACTTTTAATTACAGCTTACAAGAACATGAAAAGAACATGGATCAAAAACCTTGAGGGGACTCTGCACACAAAAACATCCTTGTAAATTCATCATTCTTCCTCATCCAAATCAATCAATGCCATCCGGAGCCTTCTTCTTGATCCTTCAGTTCTCCTGTTATTGTTATTAGACAATGGAATGGGAGCATCATCATCATCATCATCATCATCATCCAACTCATGGATGACCTCCAACCGCTGCAAATCTCTCCTCTCACTGTCGAATCCACTTCCTCCATTCCCGGCTTGGTTTTTTGAGGGCAGGTCTTCATTTCCTTGGACCTCACTCGTGTCTTCAAAGTCGCCCCTGTAATAAATATAAACAAATTAAAAAAAGAGCATTATTATTATTATTATTATTATTACTATTATTATTATTATTATTAGATGGATTGTTATTATCAGATGATTATGCCATTGGCAGTAGTGTGACTAACAGCACCAACAAGTACCTGCTTGACATCTCACTATCCATCTCTGCAAAACCTTCTTCTGCAGTTGAATTGTTAGTGCGGTTATCTTCAGTTTTCTTGCTAATTTTCCTGATCCGGAACACTTTAGTTACACAACAGACAATATACAACTGCAAGCGAAAATAAGAGTAATAAAATAGGAGTATATTTTTAATCTGCAAACATAGCTTTTTTTTGGTAATTTCTTTTGTTATTCATCTCTGTAAATAGAATTTGCGTCGTTATTCTGAGTCCCTTTCCTTGAACCTCCCTTTTAAAAAAACCAGTATGGGTTGCAAAACTATTTCGTAGAAGTTGCCAGAGTGGAGTAAATGAGATTGGAATGGCGAGGTTCACTGACTCGGCAACTCTCTTGATAATCACCAATGAGTTACAAAAAGTTGGTGTACAGACTCTTTGTGAGCCACATCAGTATTTATTTTAAAAATGGAAGTGTTGATAGAGAGGAATAAATAACACAAAAACACTATGTCTGCAGAGACAAAAAAAGTCATATTAAAGTCTAAAACAAACAAATAAGGGACACCTCCTGTGTGGATGTCCAAGAAGACTATAGAGAAGCTAATGGAAAAGGAGCATACTTCACAACTTTACTTAGAAGTTCGTCATCAGATTCATCTTGTTTTTCTTCATGAGCACTTCCCATCACCTGTTTCTTGCTCCTATAAGTTAAGAGATGAATTGAGTTCACTTCATAAATTTGGCTTTAACTGCACAATACAAAACTGCACATGTGATACCTCATCTTCATTGACATCAAAGTTTCATCATCAGAGTTGTCACTAGAAGTTTCATTCCTCAAATGTAAGTTAGAGTTAGACTTCTTTTTGGGAACAAGCAAGCCGAGCTGTTTGA